TCTGTGAGTGCGATGCATTCTGGGAGATAACTCGAGTGGTGCCATTGCGTGTGAAACGAACTCGCCATTAGACATCACGTGACGTCCGACGAGAATAGGGGGGGTGATGTTTCGGAATGTTTAAGTTGCAGATATTTAGCCAGAAAAATGTGATGGGCGATCTCTCGGGGGCAGGTGTTCTCTCGGAACTTTACGGTTGTCTGTTAAGCGCATCCTTATTGTAGCGTTAGCTACACTGGCCGAGGCTGAGCAGTTTCGCGTGGCCCTCATAATGGAGCCGTGCTCATTATGCAAGTCGTGCTCATTATGTCGAGCGCGCGGCAGCGGAGTTCCGCATAATGAGCACGGTGCCGCGCGCTTCGCATAATGAGCACGGCTCGTATAATGAGCACAGCTCATCATGAGAGCCACGCGAAGCCGCCGCCGCGCTTGCCTTGCCCGCCTTGCCGGTCTGCGCATTCCAGAGGAGTCACGTCATAGCCGTGGCAGACGCACTGGCGCCGCCGCGTGCCCAGCTGTGCGCCTCCGTTGCACAGTAGCCAAGTCGGGTGCTGCACCGGAGCCGCTTGATAGCGCTTCTCATTTAGTGCGCATAAGCTCACGCTACGTATATCCTGGCATAGCCGAGCTAAGCCACCGCAATTTTTTTCTACCCAAGATGCAACTAAGTTGAAGTGTTTTTAGATGAATACATGCTGGGTTTTTCGGAACGCACTATCGAAACTAATTGGTATCTTTTTAGGAACAAGGTCAATTATTTAGTGCAAAAAATAATACCTTTACGCGTAATCTCATGCAAGCATCGAGCCGCTTTGTTCAACGTTCCATTAAAGCGTCTTTTAAATAAGAAAAAGCGATTATATCGCAAAGCCAAACAGAGTCAGAGTGATGTCAACTGGTGTGCTTATCGTCAATTTACAGCTCTGTTTAAAAGCGCAGTGAAAGAAGCTAAGAGGGTTTTCTTTCATAACACACTTCCTTCGTTACTGATAAACAACGCTAAAAAGTTCTGGAACGTCGTTGGTGGTCCGAAACAGAATAAGATATATCTAAACGACGACAGTGGTGTGACTATTCCTCAGTCTGATTGCTGCTCTGTGTTTAATGAAGTGTTTGCAAAGTCGTTCTTTAATCTACCCTCCGTTTGTCTTCCTGATGTTGCTGATTCGAGCTTTTTTCCTATGGATCCTGTGCTGATTGACTGGGTTGGTGTGATGCATTTAATCTGAAATTTAAAAATTTCTTCGTCATCTGGACCCGATGATATTAACTCAAAGTTCCTGAAGAACACCGAAGTATATTCCTCCATAATTTTGTCGAAACTTTTTTCACAGTCCCTAGATACCTGCATTGTGCCCGGCGATTGGAAGGTGGGCAAGGTGGTACCCTCGTTTAAATCAGGAATTTCGCATTTTCCCCTTAACTACAGACCTATATCTTTAAATAGTGTTCCTTGTAAAATCCTGGAGCATATAATTTATTCCAACCTTGTTAGTTTTTTTGAAAGTAATGCATTTTTTACATCATGCCAGCACGGCTTTCATAAGATGTTCTCCTGTGAGACACAACTCATTTCATTTACACATGAACTTTTTGCTGCTTTAGATAATGCATCTCATGTTGACTGCGTATTTCTGGACTTTTTTAAAGCTTTCGGCCTCGTATCTCATCAGCTACTTTGTTTGAAATTAAGCAGATTAAATATTGACCCTAACATTCTCGCATGGATTGAAAGTTTCTTGTCTAACAGAACCCAATTTGTAGTTGCTAACGACTTCAAATCATCCTCGTCCCCCGTCACTTCAGGTGTGCCGCAAGGGTCTGTGCTTGGCCCTCTTCTCTTTCTCATCTACATTAATGACCTTCCTTACTCTATCAACTCATCCATCAAGTTGTTTGCTGACGACTGCGTCATTTTTCGAGTCATTTCTACTAGTTCCGATTCCTATGTGCTTCAGTCTGACCATAACAAAATCTCTAATTGGTGTGATATCTGGAAAATGCGTCTAAATACTAACAAGTGTAAAGTAATGAGGATTGCGCGTCAGACCGTTTGTGGCAACATTTACGATTATCAACTTTCAGGCAGTGCACTTGAACAAGTAACGTCATACAAATACCTAGGGGTTCACATAACATCTAATCTGTCTTGGCTAATGCATGTTAAACATATAGTAAATAACGCTAACCGCATGCTTGGATATTTGCGTCGTAACTTTTCTATGGCACCATCATCTTTAAAGCTTCTCCTCTACAAAACTCTCGTCCGCTCTAAACTGGAGTACGCATCTTCGGTGTGGGACCCAGGCCTGGAATTTCTTACTAATAACTTAGAATCGATACAGAATCGCAGCGCGCGTTTTGTCTTGTCGAACTACTCCCGTTCATCTAGTGTATCCTCTATAAAGGCAACCTTGAAACTTCCGAACCTCTCTCTGTGCAGAAAAATATTGCGACTCACGCTATTTCATAAAATATATTATTATAACCCGCACCTCAAAGCTGAACTTTTTTCAGAGCCATCATACGTCTCATCTCGTTCGCACCACCATAACAAAGTAGGCGTGCCACATTGTCGCACTAACTTGTTTTTCGATTAATTTATCTCAAGGACTAGTAACGAATGGAACCACCTGCCCGCCTCCATCGCAATGATTACCGACGACTTCACTTTGAGATCCGCCATTGAGTGTTATGTACTTTCTTAATAACCGGCGTTGTCTGCATTTTTCATTCTCTGTTTTAATTTCTGTATTTACTACCTGTTGTTTGTTTTTATGTTTTCCACCACTCCCTTCTGTAACGCCCCCTGGGCCTTAAAGGTACTGAAATAAATAAATAAATAAATAAATAAGTGATATGTTTTTAAGTCATTATTCGCCTCGAGATCGAACCGTGTCGCCACCGTGCGGCCGAAATTGGAAACGCGCGAAAGCGGGGATACCGCCGTGCGTCTTCTGCTACGGGCGCACGCTCAGAAGCATGGATCTCGACGAGGCAAGCCTGTTTCCGGCTGAGCTTGACTTTCCTTATTAAATGCTTTGTTTTTGTTGCCTTTTCTTCTTACTAAAGGTTGTGTTTTATCGTTTCTCATGCGTAGAAATTCAGCAAAGTGATTATTATTAGTAAGTCGGAAACTTCCATAATCTTAGTGTATTGGTTTGTATACAATCGCTGGTCCCACATATTTTAGTTATCTCGCACAAACCGTGGCTTTCATAAAGCATTGAATGTTGAGTGGGCCTGTGGTTTGATTAGAAAATTAACCCGACTGATCGCTATCCTTTAATAGACTAATCAGTCAATAAATCCGTATGTTGATTTTTCGCCGGTCATATTGCGTGAAAGACGTTAAAACTACACATTTTTTTATTGGTTTTAATATGTCTTAAATGGCATATTGCATTCCCATTCTAAACTCCACGTTGTGAGTCCTACATAAATTTGAACACGGGAAGCCTTTTAAAGTGAAGTATTTTTTTAAGTTATTATTTAAAGAGTATAATCGCCCTCGGTGAAATGACAAGCACGCTGAAGTGGTTTACCGTGCAAGCCTGTGTCACAAAAGAAATAAAGACGTCAAAAATATTAAAGCAGGCATTTTTTACTCCTTCTTCACTCCTTGTTGAACCAACAAAAGAAAATCGCAAATAAAGCATTACTTGAATAGTCTGAAAGTTAATCGATGAACTCCCCAGTTCCGATATATGTTAGGTGAGGGCGGAGGGTGATCGGAAAGTTTTGTGAAGATCGCTAGCCCTCATCAGTAGTAGACAATCACTGCGGCCGATGCAGTCTGTGTCGTGGTGCGCGTCGTTTGTTGAGGTTGCAGAGTCTACTGTGTTTGAATGCAAGATTATATAGCCAGAAATTTATAGTATTAGCCTCTTGACGTCCGCGGCCCTCACCAAGAAAATTGAAGCGAATGAACACACACTACCGAGAAAGGCATTTAATAACAGGTAATTGCTGCGTTGCTTGGTTACACTCGTTTATTTAAGTCGCGGCAGATATATTAGAACAGTTTGTTTCACTTGTATCAGTTGCCCTGCGAACCGTGCAGTTTGCAGATCTTAACTAGAAGAGACGCGCTCTCCTCATCGCAAGGCAGTAGATCTGTTCAAACTCCAAAAAACTTACCCACACTATGGCACAGTAAAAGGGAAGAGAAACTCAATAGCAGGTTAATTTCCAATACAGCGCTAACTTATCTTCATTCTAAATATTTATATTACTGCAAAAGCTAGAAGTTCCCAAAAAAAAAAAAAGCATAGAAGCTGCGATTTCACAGCCCACATACAAGTAATATGTTATCTGGGTTGGAATTTATTGGTGTTGTTTTTTAATTCCCACGTTGATGAACCGATACATTCATTTTAAAAGAAACGAATATTTAACATAAATATTCCAGTTCAGCCGGAGACAGGCATCAGTCGTGGTGATCCATGCTTTCCGACGTCTCTCTAGAGGAGACGACGCACGCACAGAAGCGATTATATAAATTTAGGCCGCACGCTGGCAACACGATTGGATCTTTACTGAAACACCGAACAGTACCGCATCGTTTTCCGCTAGAATTGTTTTCCGACCGATAGTATGCGACAAAATAAACGCAAGAATCTACGCCGTCTCGCGCGCGAACGTGGAGAGCCTATGGGGCGGCCGTTCTCCTATCCCCGCTTTGATGATGATGATAGCGCGACCGTAGCGCCACCTCTAGGTCGATCTCGAGGCCAATAGAACCTGAGATGCAGGACTGAAAAGGGAGACACGAAGGGCAGTTTTCAGATACAGCTGCAATTGAGACGTGTCCTTTGTGTTTGCTTTAGCAAGTTATTGGCAACTTTTGGCATCTGCCTTCTCTAAAGTTTGTTTGAAATCACAGGTTTTAGATGGCAGCTGTTTCTGTGTGAGAGAATAGTTTGTCGTCTTGGATTGTGTATGACTGCATTCTGTAGATGTTGCTGCAGCAGACGTGTCTGGTTTGTCTGCTGTTTCAGACGGTCACCGAGGTGATTGGGGAGTCCCTGCATGCAGTTGTGGTCTGCGTGCTCCTTCTGGCTCACGACGCGCCCGAAGACCCGGCGTAAGGTTCAGGTTCCACTGCCTTTTTATGGCGATAGTTGTTACGTGCTCTTCCCGCCACTGAAAATGACGTCTGTTGATGTTGTTAATGTCGTAGAAGTTGTTGCAGCTGTAGTTATTGTCGTCGTTGATGTTGTAGTGGGCATTGTAGGGCGTATGTTGTCGATGTTGCGAAATCCTCGAAAGAGGTTGCCCGCTGCCAGCGAGAGTAGAACCTGGGTTTGGTGCGTGCGAAGCGGAGGCGTTACCACCAAGCTACACCAAGTCGTTAACAACCTGCTCTACACTTAGGGTTTTTGTAGTACCCGATTCCCACCGCACACGCTGTCTAGAAGAAAAGGTACACCTAAGCACTTCTTATGAGTTGTGAATGCGAAAGCATGCATGTCAATTTTCCGCTGCCTTATTACGTCTGCGGCGTATTTGCGTCGACGGCAGAGCACGCGCTCTCCTCGCCGCTCTGACCTTGGACACTTTGTGTTACCAGCGTGCTGACTGCACGGACACTATGGCGCAGTGTGCATTCACGAGGGTGTTTATCAAACCACTCTGGCATTGTGCTGCGAGGCGGCTATGCAGTTCCCTCGCCTCAGGTACGATGACATGGTCGTGTCGCCGCAAGGTCGATCGGGATTCCGAATCCAGCTCCCGACGTGCCGCTTTCTCTCCTAGCCACTGGATGGCGCGGCAGGTGCCCCAAGGCGGGCGAGGAGAAACCTCCTCGCCCATCGATATATAGACTAGGGACCAGGGTGCAAAGGGCCTCTTAGGATTCCGGGCGGTACCGAGAACAGGCAAGTGTGTGCGATCGGATCTCGGGTAATCGCGAGACACGAGGCTTGGGGGCCTTCTTTGTGTTTAGCTTTGGCTTTACGTGCGAGTGTGAATATTGGTGTAATGTTGCGTGTCTTTGTAGTTTAGATTGAGTGTTTTGTTTGTGAACAAAACACTCAATTTGTTTGCGAAAGGGGAGTGGAACCCCCCGCTCCCCTGAAAGAACCAGGCTGGACACGGGTTGTTGACGGACCACGTGGGAACCGGCGTACAGGCAAATTCTAACAACACGCAGCGCCATGGGGTGGCGGTCGTTGAAACTGACCCGCAGCAGCCAGTGGGAGCCTTGTTCGTTGTAACTATGATGCGCGCCAGCCAGTGGCATTGAAGCCGAAATCCTTCAGCTTCGCTCCGCTCCTTTGGGATCGGGGAAACTAGGTGCCGTTTGGATAGGCTTTTCGTGTGGATTTGAAGCTGGGAGCCGGCTTCACTTGGAGAAACGAATTAAGGTGCAGTTTGGCGCCGCTTTAAAGGGGATAACGTCGGCTCGCTCCATAAAACAGTTCATGCTTTTGCATTAAAAAAGATTGCCGATAGCAAAATGCCATTGTGTCAGTGCCAAGAGCTTGTGCTGTGAGATGCGCTTTCTCGCAGTCCGAAACAAAAGTGTTCGGAACAAAATGTTTAGATGTCTACTTTGTTCCAAATACATTTGCTCACGCATTCCATAAAGCGCGAATGCGACGCCGATGCCTAAAGACTTTACCGCGACGTGTCGCCACTGTTGCTCCAACTACACTCTGAATTAACGCAAAACTGCTCAATTTCTTTTTTTGCCTGTTAGAGTTTAAAAATATCTTTTGTGGGACAGTTGTCACTGGAATGAGTGCTGAAATTCGCGCTCCTTCAAGTTTCAGTTTCGAGTAATTTCCCATCGGGGGCATTAAAGCTAGGAGCCTCGACACCTCGTTTTATGTTTGTGTAAGAAGTGTACGGGCATTAGGTTGTACTCACTTTGATACGAGTGTTGCACAGCCAAGTTGACAGATTTTCCCAGTTACACTGACCAACGCCAGTCTCTTTGAATTTCTGGGAATAGGAGCATTATTAATTTCCGATTTCTTTCCTCTGCCTTCCGGCTGTTAAGTCCGAAAACTGCCACTCAAAGACGTCTGGCCGCTTGGTTGTGTCCGTCCTCTTTGTTGCGCTCCGTTTGGCCTCCCTCCCCCCACCCCCCACCATCTTCCTGGCAGAAGGACAGAGGGGTGTATGAGTGGCGCCGCCTTGCCACGGAGTAAGTGTATGGGAAGTTCGTCCCATTTCTGACAAATGCCGCAAGACGGCGCAGCATGACGGGATCCTGGGGAATTGTTCTTATTCGCATACATGTTTTTGAGACAGCGAAGCGCCCGACTGCGACCATGCAAAGGCCGTGTGGCGCGTGATTGCGCCTGCGCACCGATCCCCTACTTGTAACGGTGCCCTACCAGGAGGTACGTAAAGCCCGAGCATAATTTGAACCCTTTTCTGGCCTTGTTCCGACACCTCTTCCTTCTTCTGTCGTGGCTCCTTCCTTTTTTCGCCTCTCCCCACTGCGCTTCTCGTCCCACTCGACTTGGAGGTAGGCCCAAAGGGTAGTCGGGCTTCCACGATGGCCCACTCACGTTTCCATCTCTTTCTCCGCCTCGCATGCACGCTCCTGCCGTGCTCTCGGGCTCGCTTCGCCCAGATCTGCTAGTTCCATACCCGGAGTTCTGAGTCAAACAGTCTTGGACTACTCGTGCACTTCACTGTGCACCGGTGCGTGATTCAACCTTCTCTGCTTCACATCGACGTGCTAAGAACACCGGCTAACGTGGGGGAGTGTTTTGCGTTGATAGCCATTACGGGCCGTTCCTACCACCGGAAACAACGTCCGTCGTCATTGTAGTAGGGTGCAGGGCGTGTGGCGCGCATCATCGACCTCGCCAAATGCTCGGAAAAGGATCCCCACCGCCCTCGGGATTCGATCCCGGGCCTGCTGCGTGCGAAGTGTGCTCTTTACCACGGAGCTACGTCAGGCCTTTGGCAATCCATTTTATATACGGTATCTGAGGAGCATGAACGTGCATCCAAGTCTCGCGTACTGCCCGCTTGATAACCACAGTTGGTGCGACGTCGCGATTGAAAATTTGTTATTCCAAATTTAATGCGAGTTTTTCGTTGAAATTAATAGCTTTGGCTAGGAGGCGCGAGCCCCCGCTCGATTAAAAGGATTCATCAGTATCCATTCCTTCAATAGCATTTAGAAGACAAGGCCTGCGCATTAGGTCATTGGTAATGGATCCTCGCGCAGATTGGGAGACGCACCGGCGGCAGCGGCGATGCGCCTCACAGTTGGTTGCAGGGAGAAGGGAGAACTGTGAATTGCATGCTCATGAAAACGAAGCCAATTGAGACTTTGCTGTCCAGACCCCACAGTGCGTGAATGCGAAACCAATACCCAAGGACTTTGCCGTGACATGTTGCAGCTATCGCCGAGACTGTACCATGGATTAATGGGGGGCTGATAATTCTTTAACTCATTTGGCTCGGAAATGCTTCTTCATATAGGTCGACGATCCTTTTTTAACGAGTATTCCTCGGCTCCTATTCCTAAACGACTGTTTCGGAAAGGTCTGCCTCTATTTGCAAAAAAATATGGTAGTTCTCTGCGGTGCAAACGTTCGGCGGAGATAATTTGGTGCGCGAGACTTTCTGTCCGTCTCGTCTATAGGCTCGCAAAAGTGTTGCAGTTTTTCCTTACTTTTAAATGGTCTCTTTGTGGTTTCTGGGTAAATATGTCGATCAGGCTGAACTGTACCATAGTTATCTCTTTCAGTTCCTTGAGCCTTTTGGATTGTCGGAATATCGACGTGGCTTTGGAAGTTTGAAATGGCGTGCTTACAGGTCTTGGGCCGACGCCTACCCTCCTCGTTTGTCCAAAGCGGCCGTGAGACGTACGTTGGACCACTTGGAAGCGGCCCTTCATGGACCCGAGGGAAGCTCGCTGGTGACGCTGCTTCTTCGCAGGGGGGTGAGTCTGGCGACCTTGCTGGCAGGACACCGAGTCCCGCCAGCGAGAGTGTTGAGGAGCTGGCGTCACAAAACATCTGTGGCGTGGCAGAAAAGCCGGCATCTGTGGCATGCTGCAAAAATCCTGATTGGTCGATGGGGTCACGACGTCACAGCGACACGACCTTGCGTGGGAATTTCAAACAGCCCACAACGCTCACAAGAAACGTCATGTCACGCGTGGAATGAAAGTGGTTAAAAAACATGACATGTAATGCGAATTAAAGGTCGTTGCATGTCTCAAATGATTTCACTTTTTAAAGTAATTCGTTTGCCTTAAAGAAAAGTTTGAATAATTCTAGGCGGGATTCGAACCCACGACCCTTTGGTTGCAAGCCAGACACACTACAACTATAGGCTACGCAAGGCACACTTGCACAGCTTGAGAACGAGCGGGAGTTTATATGTTTCCCTATCGAGTTCCACTCTTAAAGGCGAAGCTTTTGGTTACATGACCAACCATGTGCAGAAATGAGACTAAGGGCACTTAGTGCTAGAGGTGAATTGCTGCCGTTAGTTTGTCCTCACTTTGATTATTGAAGTCAGATTTTGCATTGAGAAAAAGGGTGAGGAAGTTTGAAATGTAAGTGAAATGAGCCGCATTCGTGTACTTTGGAAGTGGCAAGTAAAGTTATTTTGGGAGAGGTTGCGTTAAGCGAGAATGAAGAAAAACAGTGGTGGAGGCACGCGTCGGCCGAGTGCAATGAAGTGGAACTCTGTGGTCAGTGGCTGGCTGAGAAAGCAGTAGGTACCCAGCCTCTAGTATGCGCTCGTGGCCTTCTATTGGACTTTGGAGGTGTGTACAACAAAGTTTTATCGTTGGAGATGATGCCTCTGCCTCATTCTTAACTCGTCCTCCACCATGGGCACCCACAAAGTGGGTCGCATCACGTAAAAATCTCTCCTGCAGCTATTTTGCCCGCTGCTACAGACACCTTTAGAGATGAGCAAGGCTGTCCAGGCGCGTTTCACCAAACGCAGTGTGACAATGCCTCTTCTCAGGACGGCCTCCAGCTGGTGCTGGAGGGGCTGCGGGGTGGCAGTGGGGACGGGTGTCCCCTGCCTGCCCTGGGCCACCTGGTGGACCTGCTGGTGCCCCAGCTGTCCACCCCGGGGGCTCTGGGGGGCTCCGGCACCTTCCTGGTGCGCACCCTCGGCCTGGAGCTGCTGCGCCGGCTACCGCCGTGAGATCCGGGTTTTTCTGTTCCCCGGAAGCGTCTTCTTAGAGGGGGCCACCAGACACGTGTTGGCAACAATGGACATCTCTATGTATAACATATGCGCATTGCAATAAATTTGCTGAAGTACCTCTAAAGGTTCCAGTGGGGAATTGCACTGAGTGGGTATTGTAAGAATCGTTCATATAATTTTACAGAACTTAACCTGAAGAAAACACTTGACATTCCTTCTTTGGCAAGTTGTTGCATAGTGCCCGCTTCCTTCTGGCTTTGAAGCAATGATGCTTCAGTGGACTTTCCATAACCCTCGGAGTAAAACACTGGACGGGGGGGGGGGGATGGAGAGGAGGAGGAGAGGAGGAAACAGTGAACAAAGGCTCTGCTTGAAATAAACGTGAACAGGTACACTTTTCCAAAAGGTTTTTCTTTGAAAACACAAGTGCTTTTTTTCCCCATTTTTTAGCACTGAGATGGAAATGATGCCAACCGAAAGCATATCAAATTCAGTAATCCCACACAGGCGTGTTTATGTGATCAAAATCTATTAGTAGATGCAACTACAGTATGTCTCGTAGTATGTTTATTTTTTTAACATTACGTCCGTAACAAGTAAGCATTATTCCGGTTTTCTTTCATTAGCGTAATACTGACTTAGCAACTACTATGCATGTTCCCACAGAAACGGGACATGAGGCCTCGTTATACCAAAGAGACGGGACTCCAGAAAGGAGCCTTTAAAACGGGACTGCTCCAGCCAAAACGTCTGGTCACCCTGTGCTTCAGCCATCTTGACCTTGTTGCTTAAAATCATTGTTGCCGAATATCTTAAGCGTTTATGTGAAATGCAGCTCTTCGGGGTGCAAGTTCGTCCGCATCTTGCGCAGGGGTTGCGATAATGTCGGAATGCCGAGCTCTTATTGACTGAATAAAAAACATAGTGTGTAGACGTCATGGCATTTAGCATTGATATCCATCTCCTTTTAATTAAAGCCAATCTGAGGTTGGCGTCGTTCTGACGTCACCGCAACTCCCGCGCAAATAGCGGACAACTTGGTCTCCGCGTTGCTTTTTCATCCTTCGTAGATGTCAAAAGAGTCCGCAATAGAGCAAAACGATATGACCTGAGCTTCCTGGCACCCTATCTAAGCTCAGGAAGTCTTTAAGGGAGGACGCAATTTTAGAAGTCGGTAAAACGCCCAAAAGTTGGATTTTGCTAAAAAAAAAACAAAAAACGTTTTTCTATACTTTGTTACAATAAACCAGCCAGTCAAACTTCTTTACTGGATTAAATTCATATTTGACGCAAAATTAATAAGAAAGTGATTTGGGCGCGCACTCCCGCTGATTTGGTTGCCGGCTGACCGTGCCGGGCGGCCCATTTGCGTGGGCCATCGAACCTGGGACATGATGTCGTGCGGCGTAATCTACATCATCCGTTCGCGTGGTCAGGTGACTGCGGGAAAGGACACTACGTGACTGCATGAAATGCCATCACATAGCATAACGTAACTATATCTTTCTTCATTTTGTAACCTACAGTAATTGTGTGATTGTGGAAGCAATAGTGATTGCATGACACGACATGACCTTTGCCAAATATGAAATGACAAATTTTTTGCGTGAATTTGAGTGCATAGCTGCCGCTAACTCCTCTGGTGCGGGGGCTAGAGCATCAGGTTACTGAGGTTCTTGGTTCGTTTCCTAGCGAGGAACAATGTGCTTTTTGTAGACAATTGGATACCCTGGGGGGGGGGTTGCGTTTTTGTAGCAACGTTTAACAGTGCTCTAGTCTAGCAAAACCAGACGCTAAAAGCATTCCTTTTTTAATTAACCTCTTTTCGACCTTCACCCTTGGAAGAAAGTAAAAAAAGCAAAGCGAAAGAGGGAAAAAAGATAAAGGGCACAAACTTCCCGCTTTGGGGAGCCAGAGAATGCACACACGATTCAAAAGCATGCGCAGCACCTTAGAATGCACTGCACATTGAATGACTTCTTCGAATGTCTGAGGGGACGTATCATTTTTACCATTTTTACAGCGGAGCTGCTAAAAGCTAGGTTCCCCAGTTTCGTGTTTGTGGACAAATAAATCTCGACACAACCCTCTGCACAGCTACCGCCATCTATGAGTGACGGTAGCAACCGGACAACTGGCTTGCCAGTTGTCTGGTTGACGCTATCGCTCATAGATGGCGGCACATAGTACGGCTCCGTTGCTCTTCCTTCTTCACCAGAATGGAAAGGCTGAAAGTTTTCATATATTTTTGAAAATGAGCTCTTAACCAGGGTCGCAAAACCGAAAAAGATCATGGTTTGGTTACAGTTACTGTAATATTAAATTAATTTCTTTTTTTGTAATGGAGTACAACTAGAACCTGGTGCTGTTCTGTTTGTCCTCGACCTTTTTCCTCGTTTTAATTTCATCTAGGTGTCTGCTCTAAGACATAGCATTCGCACTTGGAGTGTGTAAATAAGGAAGAGGGGAATAGCGAGCAGCATTGGGATTATTTCCTCGTAGTGCTGGGACTGCCCTGACCACAAAGGAGGATGTGCAAGCCCTGTGCACCACTGCCCGTCTGTTGCGCAACCTCTACCAGGCTGCCGTGGCTCACTTCCTCCAGGTAAGGGCCCCGAATTTTCATTACAAATAGAAATCTTTGTTTTAAGCCTGCAAAATAGGTGCACATATTCACTCGCCCATGGGGGAATACTGTTGGGAATAGGAATCACTTCTGAACATCAAAAGAGTGGTCAGTCAATAATGGGGGTGGGGAGGGGGACCATTTCTTGGCTGAAATATGAGACCCTCGATTTCTGTGTTGAAGGAAATGAGCTTGATGACAAGTTTTTGAAAAAATAGAGATTTGAAGTTTGTGCTATTTCTGAAGTTTACATTGAGTATTTATTATGGTTTCCGTTACAAATTAGCAATATTGTTCCAGCTTACAGTGCGCAACTCGATAGCCTAGAAATAAAGCTGAGAATTGCTATTAAAAAGTTAGGGTGCAAACGAGCTGGTAAAGGTGTAACATAATTTTAGACAAACCCCCGAGACTGGGCGTTTGTCTTAAATTATGTCAGAATAATTTAAAACAAATCCCCAGTCTCGGAGGTTTGTCTTAAGTTATATCAGCATTGCTGGTTTATTGTATTTTCCTTAGAGTAGGGGAAGTTTTGCATCTATACCCTCAGTATGTTTAGACCTGTTTGTAGTGTAAGTACTATGCAGCCCCTAGATTCACTTCACTATATTCACTTTTTTGCTATTTGTGGTCCTAAAAGAAACAAAAAGAGAAATCAGCTGCCCTAGAAGTAGATTTTAATGCTCTCCAAAGTAGCCGTTGATCCGTGACATTACGCCTTCACGATAACCCGCTGAATGGTATCCAAGTGCGGGAAAAGGCCTCGTTCGGGCCTGGCCCGGTTGGCACTAAGAAAGCGCTTTCGGAGGGCATGCACCGCGGCGAAAGTCGTTCCGGTGGACGTTGACTTCTTCGCGGAGTCGTCGTCATCCTCGTTGCTTTTGCTGGCTGCCTTCGTGTCGACAGAGCCACAGTTCGCGAGGGCTTTGTCGGTCAAGTCTTCAATGGCCACAGCATTGTCCTCTGTCACTAGCAAGTGGACAAGGTCGACGCCGAACGGGGCAGGGCATATTTCCTCAGATCTTACAAATTTGGTAATGGGCGCGCTTAATGTGGAATGGGCGGATGTGCGGTATTCTACGGTACGACAACTGATGTCAGAAAACGGCGTGAAATCTTCCCGTTTTTTTATGTTTGCTGCCGTTTTGTTATCATATTTGTTTTTAGATGCGTCGCTCGTCCAGCAAGCACTTCCCTGTGTTGCAATTTATTGGTATATCCCTCGTTTGTCTGTCGACCATACGGGTTATGTGGTTGTTGTGTCGACTTTCAGGAGGTCGAGAGAAGTCTGCCGGACGTCATCAATGCGCTTACTCCGTTTCTTCACGTGCCCGACTGTGGCATTGCTTCCGAGGTAAGTCCCCGGCCATTGTCGAAAGAGGCGGTGAGACTAGGGAGATTGCATCTTTATCGACTTTTGAGGATTGCAAACTTCATTCAATTCAAGTAGTTAAAGTTTGTCTCGTTTCTGCTGTGACTAGTGTCGGCTCTTTATCTTGTAGTCCTCGGTCCGGTGCCGGAAGCACGGACACGACGGACTTGCGATAGCTAAAGTACGAGACTTAGCTCGCAACTCGAGCGTGTGCAAATAATGCTGAAACACTGCGTTGATTAGTGTGTCGTGACATGTTGTCGGCATGTTGGATCTCATGTTGAGTTTTAGATTCAGTGCCACTATTTTCTTCAACATATCTATGTGCCCGCTTTCAGAGGGGGCCACGTTGACGTCCATTATGGGGACTTCCCAGCTGCATCAACGGCAGCGTTGTGTTACGCAGAAAACTCCGTGACTTGAAGTCACGTGACCACACGCAACTAGAGTAGTTCGCCCCTTAGCCGAGAGATGGCGAGTGCGCCCGCATGCCCGGTGGTGCTGAAGGACTGGCTCCTCCCTCAGGAGCTGGAGCGAGATATTCTGCTATGACAGGGGTAGCTGAACTGTACGTCCTCGATTTAGTCAGGGGCAGGGACTCATGTGTGCAGTGTATTCCTTTTCTTACATAGTTGAGCGGCAACAAGGCTGTGTTGTGTGTGACCGAGTAAACAAGGAGTGGACATGCATGAAAGCAGGTGTTATTGTCGAACCTTATTGATATGTTTTCCAGGGGTCCGGGAAAGAGCACGTATGGTCTGGGAACATGTAAGGAACGAGAACAACTTTTGGGGTTTGCTAGAGATGGACGCAGAGAGCAACTGTCACAAAAATTTATTTAATGCAAACATTCATAGTGTGAGCTCACGTTCTTTCAGAAAATGTTTGTAAAAATTCATAGGCACGAACTCAAATACGTTCAGCAAAAGTAGGTGAACATAGGTCAGTGTGAAATCTAATATACTTTCCGAAAAAAAAACAAAAAAAAAACAGGTAGGCAGTGTATACGACATGGCAAGCTTTAAGCGTCACAGTGTCTATGTTCTGAGCCTAGTGAAGTGAAGCGCATGTATCGAATGTAACAAATTTATTTGTTAGTCACGGAATCAATGAAAGAAAACTAATATTGGAACATGAGATAAGCTTATATACAACTAAATGATGCACAAGAAACCGAACAACTGTGAGGTCGCTTTTGTTTCTGTGCAGTATTGTTTCGCTTTTGTTGCAAACACTTTTGTTCGATTAATGCCTCATTTGCTCTGGATTACCGCATCGCTGCTGTTGCACTGGACATGTGAGGCACGTCACAAGATATTGGCGCGGGTGATGTCATGTCAGCGTCTGACGTACATTGATAATTTCTGAGTTCACATCTATTGAATGGATGGAGATACTATCTCAATTATGCTTTCACTATCACTCTTCCCTTGGCGAGGTCGATCTATGTTCGACATTTCAGCTATATGTATCTATATAATAGGAACAAAGACTGGCCTCAGTAGTCAATTTTATGCTGAAGTTTCAACTTTTATGCGGAATCAAAAAAACAGTATTGTCAGAAGTGTTAGCACCTACAGTGGAGTGTGTATCCATTCAACTTAAAATTAAATCGGAAACGAATCAATCGAACGACGCATTTGGTAGCAACAGCGAGTCACACTGTATCTATTCAAATGGCTCGTCGAAAGTGCCGTTTCACCTCGCACCTGCGCAGAAGGGGAGTGAATGGGAATGTTTCAAACGAGTGAGGCATTGAGTCAAGGACAGTAGCTACTTAATGACGTGAGAACAATTGCTTTCTGTTGTATAGTCACAGAGAAGTAGGCTGTTATAGTGATGTCTGCTTTCTTTGCACAATGTTTCCGTACAGACACACTTTCGGGTGAGACACTGCCACCCCAAAAGCTCATAATTCCTGCCTCGCCCACACATCAGCGCTTTGAGGAACTGATGTGTGGGCGAGCAGCCAAGTCCTGGGCTTGCAGAGGGGCGTTTGCCGACGTCCTTGTCCACGTGCACTCGCGCATGACACCACACTCGTAAAAAATATCTTGCCTAGTGAAAAGCTGTAGTGTATGTGCAGGACAAATTACGGCGTTCTAGACAAGTTTTGACAGTAGCTCCTTGACACAAACCCGGAGGATTACTGGAACCTGCAGCATGTCGGCCAGGAACAGTTCCTGCAGGGTTAATCACGCTGAAACGCACAACAAAATGGCCCAACAAACTAACAAAAACAGAAAACACAATGATGTGTTGCTTGTCAAAAAAAAAAGGTCATGTTTTTTGCTCACAATGTGGGAAGAAACAAAAGGTGTTAGGCAAATTGAATGCAGCTGCTGTGCATTATGTTGAGAGGAACCTTACTGAATAGTGGAGTTAGCTAAATTGTCCTAAAGGACTTAAGAAATACCTTATTGACACGAATATAAGGCAACTTTTTTTCAAAATGATCCACTTAAAAACACACTTTGCGTTATATTTGGAATTTAGCTGAGCCACAGGTGCACGAGTTGAGAGAAAGCCCGCTCCGACTGAACGCAGGGTTCCAAAAAGAAATGGGGATGTGGGGATGGAAGGCTTTGCGCCATGTGAAGAGAGGAATAGAGAACGTCAACTCCCTTTTTTTCGTGTTTCTACTTCGGTTGTGCCGCAAAAAAATGAAAGTTGCCTACAACCCCCTGTAACACCGAATTAGAGCTCCTGAGGAGGAAGAGGGGAAGGGTACCGAGGGTAAGGTGTACCCCTCCTCCCTCCTCCTGTCTGCTACCCCTCCCTCCGAGCGGCGTCACCGTCGGTGTAACCGTGAGGTCACGCGACCCTCATGATGTCACGTGACCCTCACGACGTCACGGGGGTCACATGACGTCACCGGGGGTCACGTGACCTCATGGTTACGCCAACACTGCTCAAGCCGGAAATGGGCTCCTAAGGGCTGCGCTCTAAAACATGGTTGCCACACGGGACTGCGGGACACTGGCCAATTGAAGGCAAGCCAGGCCAAGTCAAAACGAGCCAGGTAGCACTGAACCGGCCGTGTTTACGCAACCGTGCAACCCGAGGTGTTGGCTTAGGCAGAGGGCCCAGAACAAAGGCGAGAACTACCGTATTTACTCGCTCAATGAACACACTTTTTTTCTCCGAAAAATTGATGCAAAAAATTTTTGCGACCCTATTTACTCGCCTAATGAACGGACCTTTTATCCTGAAAAATCGAAGTAACTTCTTATCTCTTTGCACGTAGCGCCCGACTCCGTAACCAAACTAAGCTGTACAAAAAAAAAAAAACAGAAAACTCCTCTTTGTTTTCTTTTTTTAAATTCCTTGGGTGTTTTTTTTTTTGGCTCCTTTCGCAAGCTGTTTTGTTTGCTTAGGCAAGGGCTCTCCACTTATCGTTCTTACCTCCTTGCACGGGGCGCGCGATGCACGACCCCCCGTAACCAAACTGCGTTGTGAAAAAAAAGAAAAAAAGCTCCTCTTTTTCTTTTGTTTTTTTCTCAGTTCCGTGTTTGTTTTTTTTTTTTTTTTTTCTTTTTGCCGCCTTTTGCAAGCTGATTGGTTTGCTTAGAGGGCTTCTCCGCTCCTCTTTCTTACCTCCTTGCGCGCGACGCACGACCCCCGGTAACCAAACTGCGCTGTGCAAAAAAGAACAAAAAGCTCCTCTTTCTTTTTGTTTTCTCTTAGCTCCGTGGTTTTTTCGCACGCTGTTTCGTTTGCTTGGAGCACTTCTCTTTCTTACCTCCTTGCGCGCGTCGGCGCGCAAACCGAAAATCCAAACTGCGCTGTGCAAAAAAAAAAAAAAAACTCCTCTCCATGTTTTTTTTTTTCTTGCTTCCGTTGGATTTTTGCGAACTTTCTTAACGCCTTTTGCAAGGCGTTTTGTTCGCCCACGCTGCCCGTGCATTCGGGACCTCGCTGCTCCAGGATAGAAAAGTGTGTTCATTTCGCGCGCGTGGGGGGAGGGGGTCAAAATTTTGATGTCCGAGTTGGGGGTGCGTTTATTACGCGAGTGAAAAAAAAAGTCGAAATTTTAAGAGCCGACTTGGGGGGTGCGTTCATTACGCGAGTGCGTTCATTGTGCAAGTAAATACGGTATTCTGCATTGTGCTCATCAGTCCTTGTTCTGCCTGCGCATTTTAGTTTCTGCTCGAAAGTGTTCTCGCATAAGTGCACCGGTGCCTTTGCTTCTTGCATTTTGAATGTCAACCGACTCGGCACTGTACGCCGTGGTTCAACAGGAATTGCCTGTGGACGAGGAGCTCGCGCCGAAAAAAAAAGAAAGAAAGTATGAGACAAGCAAGTGCACACCTCCCAAATTGCCAGCAGATTGCAAATACGAGTTGGAAGCTGAGCAGTGATGATGAGTGCAGTCAAAACATACGTAGATTGTTTTACGATTTTCTTTCTGTTTTCACTTCTATTATGCCTTCAAGTGTGGCAACTCTTTGCAGCCTCAGTTCGCATTATAATAGTAACGATATATTTTTTTTCTTTTAAGGACATTAAGACTTGCGTTATATTTGTGTAAATACAGTACTAAGTTACTCAAGAACATTTCAGATTCGTCTACTGGTTCTAAAAAGTAGACGAATAGACTTGGATTATAAATTGGCATCCTAGTTTGTCTTTCTGTACTTCTCCTCTGTGGTCGTCGTCTTGCCCTGTTGCTGCCTTTTCAAAACTACTCGTCGGGTTAGAACACCTAGCCAATTGCACTGCTACTATCAAACCATTAATGTTTGCAAGCCCTTAATGTTTGCGAATTATAAAATTTGCGAAATTCAAGGGCACGCAAAAATCTCGGTTCTTAAGTGTTTCAATGCAGGCGTCTGTAATTCGCAAAATTTAGTGTCCGCGATTATGTCCTCTGTAACCAATTCGTGAAAACTAGGGGCTGCAAAGATAAAGGGTTTTAGAGTATTCAGATTGATGGTATTAGAAACATTAAAACATTTCTAGCATTTTACGGCTTAGCAATTTTGACGCTTGACTTGTGACATTAGCGTTACTGACAGCTGCAATTTTAGGCATTGAACAAATCGACGGCCTGGGGACGTAGTTGCGGAAAATCCCGCTTCTCTCGGTCGAAGAATTTTTTGCAAATTGATCGTGTCTGGAGTAAGCGGTAGTGGAGCATAGTCACGGACCCTTCCAGGTGGGTGCCCTGGTGGAAGTGCTGCTCTCGCAAGAGGCCCTGGAGGCCTGCGTGCTGCGTGTGCTCGCCCTGCCCCCGACCTGCAGGGCCCTGGAGCCAGAGTGCCAGCGTCTGGAAGAGGCACGCTCCAGGGGCACCCGCGGAGACCTCTCGCAGGTGACACTTTAATGCAACTATAGGTTACTCGAGTCCCTTATTTGTTCCAGTCGAAACTTGGGTTCAAGAACACCTTCCCAGCTGAAGATACTTTTATTTCCTCGAGGCACGTGCCAATACAATGTTTCAGGCTGATAAGCAAAATTGAATGGTAAGGTTTCAATGTGACTCGAGTTTGAGTCAAATATGTGCTTTCGAAGCCAAGTGTGGATGGTTTTAGGTTGAAATATGGGTATTTTAGCTGGGTGATAAATATTTTTTATAAGTATAATCTAATAAGGCTGGTTGTGGAATTTCACATGCAGCTTCTCCCGACAGCTGTAAAAGAAGCAGCCTAATCGATCAATCTGTTTTATTTTGTTGTGAGAGGTTTAGGACCAGGAGTCCCCCGGCACCCACATTACTGCTTCCACGCTCAACGAAGTGCCTGCGCGAGCTGCGGAGCCCGCGATGCTTTCCTTGCCACGGGTGCCTACGGGCTCATATTGTTTTCTTTTCATGTCGCCGGATCAGTGAAGCTGACATATAGCTGGTACAGTAGAACCTCGCTCATACGTTTTGAAGAAACTGCAGGAAAAAAAATTGTATTACCTGGGAAAACGTACGATCCAAACTTACCATTTTTAAGCACACACACTAAAAAAAAACAAGCGATAGTAAGAAACAAGCAGTTCTGCAATGGCGTCGATCGCAGAACGAAATGAGCCTACACGGCACCGGAAAAATGGCCAAGTGGGATGGCGCGAGCTTGGGGTGGAACAAGAAACCAAGAACTGCCAAAGCATTGGCTGAACTTGATAAAGCAACCGGAGCTGAACCAACGGAAAGAAAGAAATAGAAATGCCGGATTCGTTCATTTAGTGTAACCGCTACCACTTTCTTGTACATCCTAGTCTAGAGTTACTCTTGCGCACTCTTGCACTCGATGCTTTCAACCCTTCGAACAGTGCCTCAAATGTGGCCTCAAAGTGCTTACTGGAGTTATCGAGAGTGACCCATAACACCGTGTCTACTTTGGAAACCCTCAAAAAGCCATAAGCGAGCGCTCTGCTCTGGCGTTGACAACTGAAGTGAACATGCGCTCGCAGGGGCAAAGCTCAATCGGTAGACAGCCGTATTTGGGCGCTTTATGCTGCTGCTGTGGCTGCTTCGGTTGCTCGTTACGACAGCATTCGCGCCACTTTCGCCTGCGGCAGCACTTGATGAAAGAAAAATGAATGACAGCCTCAGATGGATATGCTGTTATGATCCTTTAGTACACCAACGAAGCGAAACGGACCGCCAAAAACCGAGAATGTCGGCAAAGAGAGCCGAGGCTTTCGCTCAAGCCGCCGTAGTTGCGATCGAGATGCGTAAAGTGTGTACTTGGAATCCTTTGTTATTATTTCGTGGGAAACATTCGTTGACTAATCTAATAATGAGCATCAAACCCCATCTATCTAGAATCACACGTAGTAAGCATACTAGGACAGTTGAAGAGTACAGATTCAACAAAGAATGCTTCAAGGATTCGTATTTCCCTCGGACAATAAATAAGTGGAATGAACTGCCTGAAAGCATTGTTAAATCCAGAACGGTTTTGGATTTTGTGAAGTGTCTCCCATGTAGCCAATAGACATCATATTATCATTTTTGTTGTGCTTTTTTATATGAGTATTAGGTGTCTTGCAGTCCTACATTTTTGTCATTGTGTTCTGCGTGTCTATTACATCGTCTATTGTTTTTTGTACTCCTATCATTGTCCCCGCTGGGGGACCGATAGTATTATGAAATGTATAAATAAATACTGGGTGTATCAAGGAGTGGCCAGGCTTTTTAAATCGACCGCGAAATTCGGTTTCTTGACCTATCGCGCTTTGTCTTTGTGCAGCGTTGGCCGCAGATGGTGCATTTTTTTGTAAAATTTGCAAAGCGCGAACTTATCGGAGGAAAAAGTAAAGAAAGAAAAAGGCTTCGCTCCTATGGAAATGCGGCGAAGCCAAAGGTCTTCAAACAATACGGCCCCATTTCGCACAGAAGACAAGAGATGGCACAAGCGGTCGCGATGCCAACTGCGCCAACGAACAAGACTATGGCGCCGAGAGCCAGCATCTTTAGCACACAATCTTTTCGACTTAAAAGCAGTGCGAGCTTTTCTGATATCAGTTGCCAATGCATTATTTTATCATCCTTACTGATAAAACATACTGAATGGACATATAATCGATTAGAAAAATGGTTTGTTGGGATATTTTTACTGTTTTTTTCGGGGTACCGATGTCGTCTGCTTTGCAGTTCCTTGTTGTTACTGCGTCTGTTTCTGTTTCTGCGACTGTTGCCGCCTGTGGAACGCGCTCCGCTTTTGAGTCGAAAAGATTGTCTGCTAAAGACACCGGCTTTCGGTGCCGTATGCTCGTTCGTTGGCGCAGTTGGCATCACGACCACTTGCGCCATCTCTTGTCTCTCTTGCGAAATGGCGCCGTATTGTTTCAAGACCTTTGGCTTCGCCGCATTTCAATAGGAGCTAAGCCTTTTTCTTTCTTTACTTTTTCCTCAGGTAAGTTCGCTCTTTGCAAATTTTACAAAAAAATGCACCATCTGTGGGCAACGCTGCGCAAAGTTGTAGCGTGATAGGTTAAAAAACCGAATTTTCCGGTCGATTTAAAGAGCCTGGCCACTCCTTGATACACCCAGTAGATAGACAGTGATAATCTGCGCAAGTTCAATAATTTTAAAAAAGCATGTAATTTAGAATTGAAACCATTTAGTGGTTCTCAAAGGGGCCCAGTACCACTATAAGGAACACATTTGTATCATAAAGTGAAACTAAAACAACATGAAAAAGCAATGTAGCTCTGAGCACGCTGAAACTGAAACGAACCAAATTGAATTCAACCTACCATATTTACTCAAATATAAGTCAACCATGAATATACAGTGTAGGCCACATATAATGTGTGTCACGGGAGTCGCGAAAATCTGCACTATAAACAGTACCGTGATATCACCAAAACATCAATTTTTAAGGTCAAAGTGCATGCTGTGAGACAACTTGCCTTTGTAAAACCATTTATATCCTGTTAGATGAAAAATAAAGCTCAGTCTGAGGAAAGCTTTTATTTCACCAGACTAGTGCACTTCTCTCTCAAGCGTGTCACATATTTTGAAAGAATTAATGACTTTTGCCTGGCGCTGCTTTTGAACGGCGTTGCAGACGACCTGGTTTTTGATAACGTTAGAGCATTTGAACACCTCTTCACTGAATTTCTGCTCACAGTGAACCTTCAGTTTCTGTAAGAATTCCAGTGCGTCTTTACTTGAAACTTCCGGCGAGCTCTCTTTGTTTTCCTCTGACTCTTGTTTGGGTGGACTCGCCCTAGAACCTCGCACCACTGCAACAATAGCTTCATTGGTGGTTGCTTCCTCACGGATAACAGAGTCATTGTCATCCTCATCTGCATAGTTTTGAAACATGTCGTTTGCAGGAACGAAGTAGTTTTCCACAAGGTCAGACCACACGTCGTCTGCTCCAATTGCTTTGTCAATCGTGTCACTGCGCCGACCGGCGTCCTCCGAATTCCCGTCATCGTGCGCAAACTTTGCATTGCGAAAACACTTCTGGATGGTTGTGGCTTTTACTTGCCACCAGGGCGCAGTGATCATGTCGATTTTGCTCCTCAAGTCCATTTTGATGGGTTCCTCTTGATGCAATTTCAAGGTGACTCTTACGCACAAGCGCTTCTTGTAGAGCGCCTTGACTGTAGCAATGGCGCTCTGATCAAGAGGCTGGCTTTTAGCGGTGGTGTTTGCCGGCAGGAACTTCAAACTGACTGTGCTTAATTGCGGCTGGACATTGTGAGCGCCGCTGTTGTCCAAGATAAGAACGGCGCACTGTTTTTCCCCGACCACGGCCTCATCGAAACTTTTCAGCCAACTAGCAAAGAATTCTTGGGTCATCCAGGCGTTTCCATTTGCTGCGTACACCACAGGCAGACATTCTCGCTTGAAGCAACTGGGTCGTTTTGATTTCCCGATGATAAACAAGCGCTGCTTGTCGGAGTCGTCCATGTCAGCCTTGGCAACCAGACATGTGGTTGCTGCCGTCGCTCATAGAAGGCGGCAACATTTCTTCGGAGGAAGAAGGGCGGGAACGGAACAAGCGACGATGTGCGCAGCAATGCAAACGGTTCCGCAACCACCGCGGGGCCGCTATCGCCTAAAGTTCCACTGCGTCGAGTGCTTCAAATTCCCTTGCAAAAGAAGAACACATCACTCTCCTGGAAAGCCATTGCCAAAAACAGAAGCTACAGCTCCACTACTCTTCCTTCTTCACCAGGGTGGAAAGACTGAAAGCTTTTTTGTTCTTTTTTTTTTGTTAGAAGTGTGCTTAATTTGAAACATTTTGCTGTCCCTCTGAACTTCGAATTATCGAGAGTCGACTGTTTTTATATTCAGAATTTTGAATATTTGCACACCTCTAGTTATTTTACAAGTCTATGTGGAGTCTTTTACAGCGAAGCTGTTGAGGGCTTGTTCCCCCACTATTATGTCAGCGGACAAGCGGCGTGTCGACACAAAACTCCAAACAGCGACGGCAGCAACCAGACAGCCGGCTTGCGAGTTGTCTGGTTGTCTAGGATTACCTCTAGGACGACTTCTCGGATGACCTTGACGATTTCTAGGACGATGCCTCGAGAAATTCTGCCTTTTCACTCTGGTGAGAACCAGAGTGGAAAGGCTGGAAAGGTTGCCGCCATCTGCAAGCCGGCTGTCTGGTGAAAACCAGACAGCCGGCTTGCGAGTTGTCTGGTTGCTGACGTCGCTTGATGATGGCGGCAACCTTCCCAGCCTTTCCACTCTGGTTTTCACCAGAGTGGAAAGGCTGAATTTCTCTAGGCATCGTCCTAGAAATCGTCCTCAAGGTCATCCTAGAAGTCGTCCTTGAGGTCGTCCGAAAAGTTGTCTTAAAAGTCGTCTTAGAGGTCGTCCCAGGCGTCGTCCTAGAAGTTGTCCTTGAGGTTGTCCTAGACGTTGTTCTCGAGGTCGTCCCTGAGGTCGTCCTAGGCATCGTCCTAGAGGTTGTCCTAGAAGCTGTTCTTGAGGTCGTCCTTTCTGCTCGAGGTCGTCCCTGAGGTCAACCTAAGCGTCGTCCTCGAGATCGACCTAGGCGTCGTCCTCGAGGTTGACTTAGGCATTCTCCTTGAGGTAGTCTCTGAGGTCATCCTAGAGGTCTTCCAAGAGTCGTCCTCCAGGCGTCTCCTTGAGGCTGTCTTAGAAGTCATCCTTGAGGTCGTCCTAGACTTCGTCCTCGAAGTCGTTGTAGACATCGTCCTCGAGGTTGTCCTAGAAGTTGTCCTTGAGGTCGTCTTTAAGGTCGTCCTAGACGTCGCCCTTGAGGTCATCCAAAAAGTCGTCCTTGAGGTTGTCCTAGAAGTCTTCTAGGCATCGTCCTAGATGTTGTAAAGATAACAGATTCGCTGGTCCTCCATCTTCACGGAAGGGCTCTACAATTCTTATCTCACTTTCTTTTTTTTCATTAGATTGCACTGTATCTCGAATATTCAAATGCAAGCTCAAAAAATTGAAATCCAGTGCAATTGAGAATGAATGAAGTGTGTTTTAATCTTTGTTAAAATTTTTCAATTTACAAGCTTCTCAAACTTTTCTATTGTGCACCCAATGTGCCAGCTCTCTTTGAGAGACTGGAGCTCGACTTTGCTCCATCCTCCGTAGGTGTTGCAGGTGTTTGTGCGCTCGCTGGTGGAGAGTCCCCTGACGGTTAGTAGCACCTGCACCCTGACTCTGCTGACCCGCCTTCTGCGCTCCAGGCGATCCGAACTCTTGGGTCTTTTGGCCAAGGTACAAGGTGAGAACATTGCATGTTTAGCCTACATTTATTTGGGCTTTATGAAAAAGAAGAACAGAAAACAACTTGGCCCCCAAACACGGAGAGAGGGCTCGAAAAGTCTATGCCTATATTAGAATGGCAAGTAAACGACCCATCTGACATAAAATCAAACCTATGGAGATGCCCAACTACATTAATCCCTCGTTAACTCAATCTCGGCTCTCTCGAAATACCGTATTTACTTGCACAATGAACGCACTTTTTTTTCCCGAAAAATCAATGCAAAGTTGGGGGAAGCGTTCATTACGCGAAGTAAAATTTTTGCGTCCGTATTTACTCGCATAATGAACGGACCTTTTATCCTGAAAAAAATCGAAGTAACTTCTTATCTCTTTGCGCGCGGCGCCCAATCCCGTAACCTAAGCTGTGCAAAAAAAAAAAAAAAACTCTTTGTTTTCTTTTTTCTTTTAGTTCCTTGGATTTTTTTTTTTTTGGCGCTTTTCGCAAGCTGTTTTGTTTGCTTAGCGAGGGCTCTCCGCTTATCTTCCTTATCTCCTTGCGCACGGCGCGCGACCCCTTCCCCCCCTCCCCCCCGGTAACCAAACTGCGCTGTGCAAAAAAAAAAAAAAAAAGAAGCTTTTTTTTTTTTTTTTTTTTCTCAATTCCGTGGGGTTTTTTTGCCGCCTTTCGCAAGCTTTTTCGTTTGCTTATGGCGAATTCGCGTGGTCAATCGTCGGCAACTTATTTTGCCGGAAAACCGGCAATAGTGTTCGCGTGGTCAGTTTCCGGCCGGCGCGCACCGTTCGGGTGGTGGTTCTCCGGCAAGCGCCGGCAACTTTCCGGCGCTTTTTCCGCCTGAGCTCCGAACGGCCGGGCGAGTGGGCGCCAGAGTGTATCCGCTGTCGTCACTTTCGAAATGAGAGAGAAGGTCAGTGAAAAAAAAATGAACGAAAGAACGAAACTGATTTGAAGTAACTTTAGCAGCCGCTACGGAAGTCAATCCAAGTCGTTGGGACATGAGTGACGGCGGCGACAGGCTCTCGCTAGCGGTGTCGCGCGGGCAAGAGGCGAAATAAACTGCCACCGTCTGGTGTTTCGTGTTCGGGTGGTGAGGGTCACGTGGTGTGGCGCCGGCGCGTTTCTGGTTGCCGGTTCCGCCGGCTCGTTCTCGCCGGCGACTGACCACCCGAATTCGCCATTAGAGGGCTTCTCACCTCCTCTTTCTTACCTCCTTGCGCGCAGCGTGCGACCCCCGGTAACCAAACTGCGCTGTGAAAAAAAGGAAAAAAAAGCTCCTCTTTGTTTTTGTTTTCTCTTGTTCCGTGGGTTTCTTTTTTTTGCTTTTTGCCGCCTTTCGCAAGCTGTTTTGTTCGCTCAGATCGCTTCTCCGCTTCCCTTTCTTACCTCCTTACGCGCGGCAGCGTGCGAACCCGAAGTCCAGACTGCGCTGTGCAAAAAAAAAAAAAAAAAAAAAAAGAAAGCTTTTCTTCATGTTTTTTTCTTGCTTCCGTTGGATCTTTGCGAATTTTTTTAACGCCTTTTGCAAGGCGTTTTGTTCGCCCACCCTGCCCATGCATTCGCGACCTGCTGCACCAGGATAGAAAAGTGTGTTCATTTCGCGCGCATGGGGGGAGGGGGGGTCAAAATTTTGACGTCCGAGTTGGGGGTGCATTTATCACGCGAGTGAAAAAAAAAGTCGAAATTTTGAGAGGCGACTTGGGGGGTGCGTTCATTACGCGAGTGCGTTCATTGTGCGAGTAAATACGGTATTGGTTATAGGGAAAGATTTCCTTGTCATGGGAATGAACTCCCATAGGCACTATGCTCATTGCTTATCTCTAAAACCTTTCAGGACCAATCTCGGATATCTCTAAATTTTGACATCATATATTTCAACGGAAAAAAGAAACGAATGGGCAGGACACAGCAAACAATGAACTGGTGGCGTAAACATCAGTTCATGTGGCTTGGCGTCGGTGCCGCTGTTTTTCTCCCTCACGCTCAACATTATCTTCCTCTCTTCATCTTACCCAACGGGGCTGACCCGCAACGATGAACACCTAGAAAAGTATGAACATCAGAGTTCATCTCGAAGCGAATACTGAATAGCGTACTACTTGAAACTGACTATTAGAATATTTTAATATTTGCGCAACACTAATCTTTGTACTATATGTGGGTTTTTCTAGTACAGTAGAACCTCGTTGATACGTTTTTCAGAAGACCGCGGAAAAAAAGCGTATCAACCGGGAAAGCGCAGCAACCGATAACGCACTTAAAGGCACACTATATAAGATAGAAAGCAGCTCTTATGCAATGGTTTATTTTATGCACTTACCGAACTCTTTTGGACTCAGACACGTTCACAAAAGCGCGTAATATCCACCTGCCGCTTCGAATTAATGGTATGTAGTAAAAGTCGTTTCTCCAGAAGCCGCAGTCCCCTCTCACTCTCCGCGCAGTCATGAACGTTTACGTAGCGGCGCAAGGTGTCCAACGCAGCAATCGCGTCCGCAAACGTGGGTGCAGCGTAATCGTTGGTTTTTTTGTTCGTCTTCTTCATCACTTTCTTCGTTGTCGGCAGTAGTGAGGTCGGCCACAATGTCCGCTATGCTCGATATCCGAACGATCAGCAATCTCTTGCGCCTTCTCTCGCAGAATGCCTCCGTCGATGTTGACACAAGATGCCCGGGCTTGTTTGAACCATACCAACAGGGCCTCCTCTAACTTTGCGTGTTTTGCCCCCCGAGCCTGTTTAAAGCCTGGTTGGTAGAAAGGAGCCTTCGCCTCGATCTCCTTTCGTCTCGCGACGATACTGTTTAAAGTTGACGGCGCGAGTCCAAGCTCTCTTGCGACCTCAGAGTCTCAGACCTCTTCCGGCTGGGATTTCGATCCACCGTGCGAAGTATGTCAAAGTGCTTTTCTCTTTCGGGATGTCATGGCCGTCGTCAACGCGCACGCACTCAGAAACGGCACTGTTCACGCAGTCGAGCCATCCGAATGCAGCTCCGGAGTTCCCGGTTGGGCCGATAGGGGCCCCGCGTCGCTGGCTTCTCTCTTGTACGTCCATCCAAAGAGCAGATTCGTAGGTCTACCCAGCCGACTCCGACCAAACTGTTATGCTCATATTCGCCGCTATGATTTTCAGCGCAGGCGACGTGTATATGATCTTCGCTACCGAAAGCGAAGCACTCTGGGCTCTTCCGACCAATCAGTAAGAGCGAAGGGAAACGACCGTTTTTGTCTTTTTTGTTTTGTTTGCGCTCGCTCGTCACTCCAAGCCAGCCGAGTGCAGCTGTAGCCTCCACCGTGGTAAGGAGAAACTAGCGCTACAAGTCGCAAGTGGCAGAAAGTAGGGCGTGAGACTGAAAAAAGTAAATCAGTCAGTCAGTCAGATGGGCCAAAACTTTTTTAAAACAGGGCGGGCATTTGTAGGAGGAGTGCCTCTGGTATCGTGAATAAAATAAAATCAAATCAAATATCGGGAGACCGCCAGATGGCGCCACCAATGTCGTTGGCGTGCGCAGGCGCGGCAGGCGCCCTCCGGCCCTCCTCCTCCCCATCTCTCTGCTCTCTCTCTCTCTCCCTCCCGCTCCTTTTTGTATTATTATTATTATTTTTTCGGTTTGTTTTCCTCGTTTGCTCGATCGGTGTCGCGCTGGCCGCTGCGAGCGGCCAGCGCGACACCGGTCGAGCAGACGAGCCGCGCGCGCTACACTTCGCAACAAATGCGCTTCGCGAGATATTAATTACCAGTGCAATAAAACAAAAACAGCACGTTCATTGAAATGTATATTTTATTGAACGCCATTCAAATTAGTTGCAGTATTCCAAGCACGTATTTACAAACTCCGTCGGCAGTCCACCGCCCCTTGAGCGGAACCAAGAACTGTAGTAGGCAGTAAACGTTATCAAATATGTAAAAACCAAATTAACCACTTTAATGTACAAACTAACAGAACAGCACTTATAATCGAATTATCTAAATGCGTCTATAAACAACTCCTACAAACAAAAATGCTGAATACCCAAACAAACTAATCAACTCCGATATAAAGCAGGCTTGCATTTTAATTTAATTAACGCAGGGTTGCAGGCGAGCTCCATAAGAATAAACGATAAATAAACCATAAACAAACTCCCTAATTGGCAACGCAAAGAAGAAAAAAAAAAATCTTCTGGAGTGACTGATTGTGGGCGCTTTTAGGTACTCTATCCTACAAGCTGTCAAATTAACTAAAGACTCTGACAGCAACTCACTTGGAGGAACCAGTCCTTGCAGCAACGGATTCGTAACAAGAACGGTGAGGCACGTGTTTTTCCGCAAACGAATCTTCCTACATTTTGCAAACGCGGTTGCACCGGCGTGCTTGCTGCACAGACGACACGGACGCAGCTTGCTCACCGGCAGGCTTCCAAAGTCCTGGCGCTTTGCATACGCAATCCATTTCGATGCTGTAATGGAAAGATTGAGAGATCATATATTTCAATGCTTCCAGTTTCGAACGTTGACAAAAAAGTTTGATATAAAGGCTCACCCGCCGTTTGTTGGAAACCGGAAGAATAAGCACTCCGAGTTCTTTTGAAGAACTGTTACTCCACTTGGCCGCGCAGTAGACTCCGTAATACGCCGTCATGAGGCACGCAACTCACTCGGCAGAATCTCTGTCAAACTAGAGACGTCTTTAATCCCTCTAACCATTTTCTGAGCGCAGACGCGCGGCTCCGTACTCCGTGAAATCTACACTTTCGATTTCAACACGCGCGGAACGGTTTGAAAGCTTGGAGTGACGAGCTCAAGCAAAAAGAGAAGACAAAAACGGTCGTTTGCCCTCACACTGAAGGTTGGTGATTGGTCGGAAGAGCCCAGAGTGCTTCAGTTTTGGTAGCGAAGATCCTATTCACGACGCCAGCGCTCAAAAGTACAGCGGCGAAACAGTCTGGCGTGAGACTGTTGGCTAGACCAACGAATCTGCTCTTTGGGTGGACGTACGAGAGAGAAGCCAGCGACGCGGCGCCCCAATCGGCCCAACCGGGAACTCCGTTAGCTGCATTCGGCTGTCCAAGCTTTCTTCAAACCGTTCCGCGCGTGCTAAAATCGAAAGTGCGGTGCGACGCTGCTGCGCGCTTATAATAATTAGAGATGTACGTCTCTAATTTGACAGAGATTCTGCCGAGTGTTTTGCGTGCCTCATGACGGCGTATTACGGAGTCTACAGCGCGGGCGAAGTAACCTCGGAGTGCTCATTCTTCCGCTTTCCAACAGACGACAGGTGAACTTCTATATCAATTCTTTTTTTGTCAGCGTTCGAAACTCGACTTTTCCATCAGAGCACCGAAATGGATTGCGTATGCAAATCGCCAGGACTTTGGAAGCCTGCCCGGCTTGCCGACGAGCAAGCTGCGCCAGCGTCGTTTGTGCAGCGAGCACTTCGCTGCTACCGTGTTTGCAAGTTGTGGGAAGATTCGTTTGTGGAAAAACGCGTGCCCCACCGTTCTTGTTACGAATCCGTTGCTGCAAGGACTTGCTCCTCTGGGTGAGTTGCTGTCAGAGCAATCTTCAGTTAATTTGACAGCTTCGTGTTTATATGTTAGGATAGAGTACCGATAAAGCACCTACAGTCAGAGATGTAGACACTCCAAAACAGTAGTTCTTTCTTTCTTAATTGCATTGCCTATTAGCGAGTTTGTTTATGGTTTATTCATCGTTTATTCTTATGCAGCTCACCTGCAAGCCTTTTCCTTTATTTCGGTGTTGATTTGTTTGTTTGGGTATTCAGAAGTTTAGTTTGTGGGAGTTGTTTATAGAGCATTTAGATAATTCGATGATAAGTGCTATTCTCTTAGTTTGTACATTAAAGTAATTAATTTCGATGATAATGTAGTGATTGCGCAGGCGAGCTGGTGGATGTTAACCATTTTGTTCTTAGCCCGAGACTGAGGCAGGAAAAGAGGAAAGTTTCGAAGTAGAAGAAAAAAGAACAGTCGAGGACACGTCTCTAACACAGCTAAAGACAAGTTTATTTGGTCACCTTCTTATATACACTCCACAAACTTCACCACAGCACCTTCCCGATCTCGAAAGCCAAAAGATAACAAAGGTCTCACATCTTTCCACCACAATTGTCAAACGACCTTGACGTTTTCCACAAAGCAATGAACAATAGCTCCCCTCATCCGGAAGACACTTGTGAATCCTTCGCGTACACAGTACACTCTCTCCCTCTTAAAATAATTAATTTCGTTTTACATGTTTGACAACTTTACTGTGTTTTACTGCCTACTACAGTTCTTGGTTCCCCTTTGAGGGCGGTGGACTGCCAACGGAGTTTGTAGATGCGTGTTTGAAGTACCGCAACTCATTTGAATGGGGTTCAATAAAAAAATACATTTCAATGAACGTGCTGTTTCTGTTTGATTGCACTGGTAATATCACGCGAAGCGCAGTTGTTGTGAAGTATATCGCGCGCGGCTCGTCTGCTAGACCGGTGCCGTGCTGGCCGCACACAGCGGTCGGCGCGGCACCAGCCTAGCAAACAAACCAGAAAAAAAAAAAAAAAAAAAGAACCGGGGGGGGGGGGGGGGGGAGGGGGGGGGGAGAAGGAGGACGGAGGGCGCACGCCAACGGCAGTGGTGGCGCCATCTGGTAGCCTTTCGAGACCGATTTTAATCTCCGACCAGACGTATGTTCGCCTTTCTGCCACTAGCGCCTCGTGGCGCTAGTTTTTCCTTACCATGGTGGAGGCTACAGCTGCACTCGGCTGGTCGAGCTGTCGAGTGGAACAGAAACTGGAAGTGCAGCGTCCCGGCGTGCGTGCGGCGCGTAAACAACTCGCGCCGGAGAGAGAGGACAGATGAAAAGAAAGAGCAAGAGAGAACGAGCGTTTTCGCAGAGCTCAGCAAAGCCCAGTGAGGAGACCGGGAAAGGGGGGGAAAGGAGTAAAGGGGTAAAGGGAAGGGGGGCGCCCGCGTGCCGCGCGGCCGCGCGATCCGCGCTGCGTGGTTCGGCTGTTCGGCTCTGCTTCGCTTCGCTTCAAGCCGGCGTGGCACCTTGGCGCACGGCGCGCCGAGGCGGCGAGGCGCCGAGGCGCCGCGATTCCGGCACTTTTGGACGTAACAACCGGGAAAGCAAACGTAACAGGCAGGAAACTAATACATGTATCTCTATGGAAGTAAAACGGGACCGGCGTTTTTGAACGCAACTGACAGGAAAACGTATCAACCAAGAACGTATCAACGAGGTTCTACTGTATCTAAATACTCATCTTTATTTTGTTTTCTTTGGTGGCACTCGGATGTGTGGGCTCCGCGTTGCGCCGTGACGTGTTTCGGCATTGAAAATGATTGTGGAACGCTTTGTCTCGTGCATTGCAGGGAGGCTGTTCTTTTCGGAGGACGCATTGTGCAGTCCCCTGCATCGGCTGATTGTGGTGCTCTTCCAACATGCCAAGTCCTCAGACCTGCAGGTAAAGTTCTTTGAGAGTACCACTCGCTGTTTATGATTTGAGTGATTTGAGCAACAAGCAGAAACTCTGCAAGATTGGTTCAGAAGCTGCAAAGCATTTTTCGCTTTGCTCCTTGATTCCATTGTCAACCCCCTGATTTATGGGAGAATGGCAGAAGTGAATTTTTGTTTTGATCAACCCCTTAACGGCACTAAACCTAAAAAATATATATATATGTATTCTACTTGGGTAGGACAGGCATGTATCAAAATAAATGATTGTTGGAAAAACAAATTCTGTAACGTTTATGTTTTAACACAAATTTTTTATTTGTGTGCCAAACTGAATTGTACCCCTGTGGGATGACAATAGCGCCTGTCCCCAGTAATGTGCATCCCCGACTTCCCTGGACCTCTGAGCACACACTGGTTGGGTACAAATGCTATCATCATCATCCCACAGGGGTACAATTTCGGTTTTGCCTGCAAGTTGAAAAAATTTTATTGTAGCATAAATATTGGGGAGAAAAAAAAGTTTTTTTCGACGAACATTTTCTTTGAGACATGCGCATCCTAACCAGGTAGAAAAATATTTTTGTTGGTTCAGTGTTTTCTTAAGTTAAGCACAGTGTTTTTGCAAAAGAAGGCGAACTTAAATACGAGTAAATGAAAAGTTGTAATTAGTTCTGGTAGTTCGAGGTTCAGGACTTTTGGCACGTATGGTGGAACAAACTACTTGCATACCTTGACTCTGTAAAAGTTGAAGCTGCTTACTTTTTTGGGGGGGGGGGCTTTTAAGGGGGAACAGTGGTCTTGGAGCTTTTCTTCTTCTTCAATTTCAAGCCCAACGAACCTGCACAAGCTTGTTTAGTTTTTTAGTGCTGATTTTAAATACCTGGTCATTTTCTCAGTCCTCGAGCCTTCCTTTTTTAAAGGAACAATAGGGAAAAAAACTGCTCAACAAAATATTTTCTCTAACAGATGACTGTTGGGCAGGAGATCGAACTATAGGGGGCGCTCTGACCCGTTTGTTTTCCCCACGCTCGGTGTTTACTCAACACAAGGCCTGTACACATGCCAACAGGCCTTATGGGCATGGCCATGTGGTCTTCTACAATAGAGCGCGGGGCACAGTTTAATGTAGAAAATACTAACAATCGACGAAGCGACGTTAAGTGCCGGATCTATCTTCTGAGAATGCGAGCTTGACCCACTTCGGCTTTTGTGCTAAGCTGGGATCGTGCATGCTGCATTGTTCATGTAGGCCGTCGTGGAAACAAAAGCGCCCCTCCTCCCCCTCGCCGGAGAACACGAACTCCAGTCGAACGCTGACGCCGCGTTCGGTTATGTCGGCCGAGCGCTGCGTCATTGTATTTGTTGTCCCCATCCGTGTAGTTGATAAGTTAACCGCTTGGGGCGTAACGGTCTGTCCTCCTCCCCAATAGTCGGAGACAGGTTAAGAAAGAAGTGGAAGCCCCTCCCACCCCTTTCCACTTCAGCAGAGCAAACAGTGGAGAGGAGGTCGCCTCCTCTCCAGCCCTCGCTCTATTGAAGTGGAAAGAAGTGGGAGAAGCTTCCACTTCGTTCTTGACGTGTCACCGACTATAGATACTACAAAGTACAAAGAATACAACGTTGGAACTATGTTTCAAATTAAGTCATAATTAGTGATTTTGCCGCACATTCAAGTTCAGTGCTCGATATCTGGCTACCAAGTAATAAAACAAAAGACCAATCAAAATTTTCCTACACCTATATTGGAAAATCTGTTCTCAATATTGTATGACTCACACATTTAGCTACCGTATTTACACAATTGTAGGTCGACTCGATTGTAAGTCAACCACATCGCACATCAGCAAAAAAAAAAAAAAAATTTTTTTCTTTTAGATGCGTTTTTTATTGCAAACACGTGAGAACATCAAAGTATCTGTTTTGAAAGCCGAGCCTCCAACACGCAATCGATGCCTTCTGGCGTGCTTTGGCTGCGCATGCACGTGCGAGGTGCATGACATGGCCAGGCGTTATCGGAACTAGGAAGTTCACGCTGGAGGCAGGACAACTGAAACTGCTCTCTGTTGTTCTCACTCCATCCGCGACTAGACTACGACTCGTCCGCACTGGTGATGTCAATCCCGTCGTCATCACTGCTATGTTCTCGAAGCACGTCGTCGGCGTCGTCCAATGAAATCTTGCACTTCGCAAATGACAGGACCATTCGCATCTTTTGTGCTTGTTCGGCGATCGTGTTGGACGTCACGGGTAGGGACCGATTGTGCACGTTTGCGGCGTACGTTGCAAGCCTGACCTCCAACTCCGAAGGCATCCCCACCTATCCAGACTTTGGCCTGTGGAAGCTTCTTTGTTTGCCGTCACACTTTAATATTCTGCGCCACCCTCCGACGGGTCGAACTTGCGTCCAACAGCGCAGTTGTTGTTTGCTTCCGAGTGAAGAACGGCCATAAATGAGCACCGAAAACCTAAACTGCCAGGATCACGCGTTTCAATACAAATGAACATAGTTAGCGCACCAGCATGATCTCGTACTCGATCAAACGATGTGCGACCGTGAATCGTGCGAAAAACTGCGAAGAGAAGCCGCGGCGGCGTGGGGTGAGCGAGCCAGGCGAGCCGGGAGGCTGTTCCTGCGGCCTCCGGAGTGGCTCTTACGAGAAGTGCCGTCACCCCCCGGGGGTCGGGCACTCCGCGCTCTGTTCACCGCCGTATATTCGGGTTAATTTGCGGATCGCTATGGATAATACTCGTTCGCGCAAATAAAACAATAATTAATTTGTAAGATGAGCGCACAGAATAGTGCAGTGCTAGAGGTACAACTGGCTGAACTCGTAACAAGCGGAGGTGTTCATGATATCGCAATTGTTTCGTTTTTGCCGGCGGTGGAATGCTTTGATTCGATTATAAGTCGACCCCCCCCCCACTTCAGATTTTCAAAAATTAAAAGAGGGTTGACCCACATTCGTGTAAATACGGTAATTGAAACGGTTTGCGCCACTTATATTTTGTATTTCGACTAAAAAGAAGCTGTTAACGCTCTGACCAGTAGTAAGCCCAGGACCGAAGACGTCACATATCACGCGCTTTCGGTACCGCGGGTCGCCCCCGTCGGTGGAGGAGGTTTCCGCGTCGTCCGGTTAAAATATGACGCACTGATATTTAGTTACTCTCTCTGTGCCTGCTGGCTTGCCCAAACCCCGAGAGACGTGGAAACCGCAAAAAAGGTAGACGCTTAAATGTGACTAAAAAATAAGTCAATGTGTTCACCACCTGTCTTGGGTTCTTATACATAGAGTTTTATCATGATACAGTATGTTAATATATCTGAGGAGCTTGCACGAACCAGCAACATGCAAAATTTTCCAATTTATATGATCAGAAAGGCTTCAAGCTTTGTAGTTTACTTTCTCAAAAGGATGCTGAACCGACATTTGTATGCGAAATTGTGAAGTGAGAAGGAGAGAAGTGGCCTCGCTTCTCTCCTTCTCACTTTGGTTTACCAGGAATTTTGCGAGGTAAGGTGGCAGAAGCGGGTGCTGGGAACTTCAAAACATTACTCATAACATTGATATCTCAAACAGATGGCCGTGTTTTTTTGGAAAAGAAGGGCGCAATCAAGCGAAGACTTTGACATCACACTCCTCCTTTGTAGGAAATCGCGTACCGCCGCCGATTCGCCATTTCCCACGTGGTCCGTCAACAAACCGAGTCCAGCCTGGTTCTTTCACGGGAGCGGGATTCCGCTCCCCGTGTATTCGTACAATGAAACACAATGCTACAAAACACTCAATTTAAACTACAGATGCAAGCGACATTATACAAATATTTGCAAACGCACGTTAAGCCAAAGCTAAACACAAAGAGGGGCTCAGGCCTCGTGTCCTGCGATATCCTAGATCCGGTCGCCACCCACTTGCCTGCGTCTCGGTCTTGTCTGGAGTTCTAAGGGGCCTCTCGCCCCCTGGCCCACCGAGTATATCTCGATTGATGGGCGAGGAGGTTTCTCCTTGCCCGCCACGGGGGCGCCTGCAGCGCCATCCAGTGGCTAGGAGAGAAAGCGGCACGTCGGGAGCCGAATTCGAGATCCCGATCGACCCCGCGGCGACACGACCATGTGATCGTGTCTGAGGCGAGGCAGCTACTTAGCTGTCTCGCGGCCAAAATGGCAGAGTGGTTTGATAGGCGTCCTCGTGAATGCACGGCACGCCATACCTCGAACAGTTGAGAATGAGGGGAAGCTGCCTCGCTCTTCTCCTCCTCGCTTCGGTTCACCTGCCCGAGGGTACAAAGCCAAGAGGAGAGGGGCTGAGAATCATGGCGTAGCATGTCTCGTCGGCCTTGTCGTTCAGTGGCGCACTCCTTTTTCAAAATACGGCCAGCCTTTGAGGATACTACTGTATGAGTGATCTTTTTGTGTTTTGCAGCATCCCAGCTATCTATCGCTCCAGCCTTGTTTTGTGAGTTCCAAATTTCGGTTCCCTTTAAAAAAAAAGTGCAAATCAATAAATTTTTATTTTGGTTTTTAGTATGTTTTTTTATTTTCCTTAAATGTTCATATTTTATGTTTAAAAGTATAAGAACCGAATATTCGGTTCTTATATAAGTATAAGAACCCAATATAGTCATCAGGGGTGGAACGGCTGCGCCATTTGCGCCATTTTGCGCCAGACGCATTTGTCTGCGCCATCCTGCGCCATTTGACGGAAACTGCGCCACAGCCAATACCTTGCGCCATTATGCTCCTAATCGCACAACGTGCGCCAAAAAAAAAAAAAAAAAAAGTATTTTGTCTTGGTTTCGGTTCCTATCGACTCGATTGGCAACAATTAGCCCGTTTAGCTTGGTCGGCCTTGCAATCCTTTCTTCTGTTTATTCTCCCTGTGTATCCCGAGTCGGAAGCGCGCGAAAAAACTCGGGGATCAGATTCGAAGCGCTACACCTGCGACTGGACTGTAAGCGTCAGATTGCCTGAGGCTCTGCGGCCCGGGATCCGGACGTCAGCCAGTTGAAAACAAATGAGCAAAATATTCCTTTTAGTACTTCATCGTTAGAAGTTGAAACCGCATTCCCGCAAGATAATTGCGATTTGATAGAACTGAAACGCGGTCCGATCCGGAACCTTGCCTGCCAGCTGCTGTCACGCGAGCGGTAGATCTGCTCGGCGTACTTTAACCTTGCTCCCGCTAATCGCTTTGAATACGATAACTCCGTTAATTGTAGTCTGCTGCTTCGATATTGAGTTGCACAATAGGATAAACTCGAAATTTGTTGCCCTGTTCCCCCACGCAACTGCACGTCCGTTGCTTACGCACGTCACGTGGTTCGCACATATAATTACTATGTCGAGCACGTGTGGGAATTGTGCGATAAGCAGTGCTGATTTGCATTTTGAGCAGCTGAAAGCCACTCAGAAAATATCAAGGACACCATCTTCAGAAACATATGGTACTTGCTTTTTGATTCTCATTAAGGCTTACAAAGTTTCAAGTTTTGGCATCTGTTACACTGTTATCCCATTACCTAGGTCCCTAACCACTCTTGTTCATCTGTGCTGCTAAGCACAATTGAAATTGCTCCCGTGCTCGTCTAAGACACAAGCTGAAGTGCAGTGAAAACTGATCTGAGCTGCTCCTAGCCTGCTCCTGAATGTAGTTTTAGCTGCTCCCAACCTGCTCCAAAACAGCGGTTTCAGCTGCTCCCGTGGCTGCTCCCAAATACATTTCATGAGTTCCACCCCTGAGTCATGAAATTAGTCAAATACGCTTTGAAGACCTCGTGGCAATCCAGAAAGGCATAAATATGAGCCCTGTTTGTGTGGACGATTCTTCCAAATGTGACGTCGCCTGCCATCGCAAATATTTTGAGAAGTAGGCTTAACCATCTTCTCTCTATTGTAATCTTTTATAGTTTCGATTTCCCACAAAAAATGCTAACAAAAAATTCATTTTCCCACAGCGAAGAAGTGCGTCTACCCATCTGTGGCAATATTTAAACATTTTTTTCTCTTTTTGTAATTTTCGGGGCACCTTCACAATTTGTGTGCAACAATTGTTTTTCTTAATATTGTCTTATCACAATCAAATTTAGCAAGCGTAAGCTTTAGAATATGTTCAATGCAACTATCAAGGTCTAACTAAAATGTCTATTTTTAATATTCATGAGAACTTTAAGGAACTTTTGTAAGCCCCTTGATACTGTTTTTTTTTTTTTTTTAGATTTTCGCTATTTTAATGTAAAGGAGTTCACGGACGTTTTTTGTTGTTCATTGCACTCAGCAGTTTAAAAAAAGCTAATTAGCCTTTCTTAGTAGGCTTTTCTAAGTCTTGCAATGCCCATGTGATTTTTTTGCGTGTGCATTGCATGCAGAACAAAATAAACAAGCTATATCAAAACTAACACCAGATTTACTGAAAGCAGATCAAGCTCTATAAACTTTGAAAATTTGATTCAGTTATTGCAAATAATAATCTAAAAGAAAGTTTTTCCTTTGTGCACGTTGCCTTAACAAAGTAGAAACTTCTGTAAATTTTGGTAGCCTAACTCGTGTACCTATAAATTTAGTCTCCGTACGAAAACACAAAATTGTTGCATATTACTCTTTTGACTTTTCGGGGCATTAGACTTGTTAGAGAACCTAAAACTCGCAATGCGTTCTGCATCTTTCAACCCTATGCAAACAAGGTTAGTTGCAAATTTTTCTTTTCTTGTTAAACCACAATGTCGCGTGAAGTTGCATCACACGCTCGTGCGACCACGACCTATATGAAGTCGCATGAAGGAGTTTGTGTGACCGCGACATTATTTGAAGTCGGTAGCAATCAATTGGGGCAGTGACGAATATTGCCAAACTATATCTGGACGGTGAACCACAGCTTCGCTACACCGGGCACGTGGCTGCCATGAATGTTGGCTTCACGAACCGAAGACATTAACGCCGCTTGATTTTCTTCTCTGTAACAGTTGGGCACTAGAATTGGTTGCATGTCTTGCATGTTACAAACAAGTTACTCGAGGAACTTCAGTAAAATAATCGGGAAGAACATGAAGGTATCAGGAAACATGCAAATTGCAGAGAAGCGGTATGTCAGCCACTCCACCTGGTCGAGTTATTGGCCATTGCTCGGGATTCCGACGTCGTAGCTTCCGACCGTCTGACCCCTGCCGATTTTCCCATCTGGGGAGCACTTGTTATCTTCCCCGTAATGCGGATCGTTGGTCCAGAGAAACTCGACAAGTAAATGTGGATCGACCAAAATCTTTTATTTACAAACTCCCGCGTAAAGCCACCGCGTCTCCCGCTCTTCGTGCGCGCCATCCCTCGGCTCTGTCGGAAAACATCCTCCCGCCACCGTGGCACCGTCTAGCAGGGATGCATGCACTCCTGGTGTGCGTCACCCAATACGCCGTCACCCACCCTCTCTGGCCAGCTCCGCGAGGCATCCCTGCGGTGCCTGGGCACCCTGGGCCCCCTGGAGCTGAACGTGCCAGCGCTGATGCCCGACCACTGGGACCCAGACGCAGCCGCCCAGACCTGCCAGGAGCTCTGCTACGAACTGCTCTTCCCCAAGATGGAGGAATACGTCAACCACTCAGAGTGAGCTGCCTTCTTCCGTCTTGGCTTCGCACACTTTGTTGCTCGCTCAAAAATTGGCGGGTTCTGAATCTTGGATTTCGATCCAGAGTAAAGGTTTCGTAGCTTGGCCTCCGACAACCTACTCACATTCAGCGTTGCTCTATTGGTGTTATCGCTTGATATGACCCACAAGAGGAACTCGAATCTACTCGAGTAAGATTTGCTGCATAGTCATTCTTATAGCCCGACGCGAAGATAGGTGGGAAGGAAGGGGCCAGAACGCCATGGACCTGGCTTTTATATAGTGAAGGTTTGTTCCGGCTACATCCCGTGTTCTTTCGGTTATTAAAGCGGAATGTGTTTGATCAGCCGAATTCTATAAGAAAACCGTCGTAAACAGGCATCGGGGAGGCCTGTGACATTGTGATGTCCCGTGACTGCCATGTCCCGTGACATCATCGTGTTATGTGACGACACAATGTCATGTATGTCATGAAGTCGTGTGATGTTATGACTTCACATCACACCGGGACTTTGTATGAAAGTGATGCCATGATGTCAAACGACATTCTGTAACTGTGCCATCAAGGTGTCATGTGGCTTCATGATGTCATGTGACACTTGACGTGATGAGGTCACGTGACTGTGACGTCACAGGACATTGCGATATGATCACACAGTGACATTGTGTCACATCACAATCATGTGACCTCAGGATGTCGCAAAATATCACACACGCAGCATGTGGCCTGCTGATTCACAACACATTCCGTGCTCCTCTGTCTTTGTCAGCACGATCTAGCTGGTGTAGTTTTTGTTTCAAATTACAAAAATGTTTGAGTACAGCCAACTTCCCTTTCTGCTTTAACCTTTTGTTCATTGTGTGATACACTTTATTAATCAGAACGAGGATATTGTAATTCGGGCCCTGGTTGCTTCGAATGCACTGCGGTAGGCTAGAAAAGCGCTTATAAAATAAAAGCGCCAGCCATAGACAAGGACAGAAAAGGAAGGCGAACAGGACGAGCGCTTCATCCTGTTCGCCTTGTCTATTGTTAGCGCTTTTAATTTTATAAGTCACGATTAACTCGCCCGCTTCGCCACTTTAGTTTAGACTAGCGCTTTTTATCGGATCGAACATCCGCGGTGTTTTGGATGCGGCTTGCCGCATCGTTTTGAATCGTAGCTGTCGGCCGACAGACGCTGGGTGTTCTGTTTGCAGAAATGTGTACCTTGTTCTCTGCATTGCTTGTGGGGTGTCATTTTAGTTTATTTGGGTAATGGGACAAGCTGCGGGAGACACCACTGCAGCGAGTGACTGTAGGTTCACTCAGTGGTGCCACCTAAAGCCACTAAGTATCGACACCTCCTTTCCAGATGTCTCGTACGGTCGACTAATTTGTTGCCTCGTGCAGAATCAATTGTAACTCTCTGAACTTCAGATGTGGTGTCAGGAAGCTCGGGCGTTTTGCTCTGTTGCGCATTGTTCTTTAGTCTGCACATTTCTCTGACAAAAACAGGCTGTGAAAGTTGTCGTAAATGTGGGCTATGTTTTGTCCCCCCAGTGCCAGCGTTGCCAGCTTGGCATGCAAGGCCTTGAAGCGTGCCCTGGCCACCCTTGCCGGCTCAAGGTTTGCATCCGAGCACTGCCGTACCGACATGCAAGACACGTTTGCCTTCCTGCACCCCTTCACGTTGCAAGAGAAGAAGGTGAGCTGATAGTATATGCATGCTGGTAGCAGTGGGGCTGTGCAGCACACCTACTTCAGGATAGTTCTCTTGTGGCCTGTTGAGTTTGGAGTTTTTTTTGGTAACTTCAGTTTTGTTCAACGAATAATAGGGTACCGTATTTTCACAAATATGATGCGACTTTCTTCTTCGAAATTACGCGCTCCAAAACACGCCTCGCGTTATACTCGGAACTGAGTTCTGCCACGAGACACACTAGTCGGGAGAAAGCTATCTTTTTGACTGAACGCGAGAGATTGAGTGCGAAAAAAAAATGGGGGTGTGGGTAGGGAGCCCATCAGTTATTGCGCCACACGAAGGAAGTAACAGAGAACCCAGAAAGCATTCGTTTTTATCTTTGCATCTACAAAGACGTGGTGTGTCATGGGGGAGTGCAGGCAACACCTCTTAGCACTCTTCTCGTGACTTCGCAAAAAAAAAAAAGCCATCGGGGGCGCACATCGAAGCGCCGAAGCAAAGGCTACGCACGTGTATTGACTGTCGTAACAATGCGCTTTTAGCCACATAAGCTTGTCTTATTAGCTAAACAGAAAGCTGCACATACAGTCAAACCCGTTTAAAACGAACAGCAGGAAACGCCACGATTAGTTCGATATAGCAAGTAATTCGATATAGCAAAAACCATTTACAACGAACTTTCACGATGCGTTCGTTGTAAGGCGAGAGCTTCTCTTTCTCTCTCATGTCTTCGCTTCCACCGGGTAATAAAGCGCTGGAAAGATTTTTTTTTTTTTGCATGCATGCAGAATTTGTTTTTTTTTTAGCCTATCTCCCCTTCTGAATCACTTATCTTCGAAGGCAACCGCTTTGGGATGAAGTTTTTTTTTCTGTGCGTGCGTGCTGTGTTTTTTTTTTCTAGCTTTTCTTTTCTGAATCGCTTCTCTTTTTCAATTTTGTTCGGGGTTTCAGCTTTTAAAATGTTCTTTTTTTCCTAGATTTTTTTGGGGGAAGGGGGGAAGGGACAGGCTAGAAGGCCATTGTTTGCGCGTTTTTGGAAGCCTTCCCGAGGGGAAAAAGTTTGATATAGCCAATATGTTGTTCGGTATAAAAAGTACTTTTTACATGCATCTTTGTTTACATTTTCCGTGAGTTCGATATCGAGAATAATTCGCTGTACGTGGGTTCGTTCTAAATGGGTTTCACTGTACCAACGGGGCTAAAAAAGATTTTATTTTGTGGGCAAAATATTACACCGCTAAGTAATCAGTATGAAATGGCACGAGGTATGCTTATAAGACGTCTACAGAAAAATGTGATTGTTTTAAGTCGATGACATTGAGTCACGCAATGATTGCTGTGGGAATGCATATTTTATACAGAACTACTTCCACAATATGGTGGGACCCTCAGTGATTGGACGCATTAAAACGGATCACAGTAAAACTCAGGTAGACTTAGTCAACGTGGACACGGCTAAACAAGTGTCACGTAAGATCATGTAAGCTTTGTTACCGCATGCAGTCACTGAATTTTTTGCATTATATCCAGGCCACGTGGCAAAGTTAATCTTATTTCGATCGAATGACATTATGGGGTCGGAAAATCAGCTCGTAACGCTCATATAGTCACTCAGGATCGCGAGCTGATTCAATCCCATAATATCATTTAATGAAATGATAATAGCCTTCCTTGTGGCAGTGGTACTAAACTTGCTTACTTATTGCAGTCAACTAATCCACTTCTCACTGTGGACGGGAGCTGCATTAGAACAAAATATGATTTTTTTTTATCCAATAACACTATTACCTTAATACAGCTAAGATTTGAGTATAAATGCGGTAAAGGCAGTGAAATAACATTAGTATAAATAAACACCTAAACACAAACAACGCACTTTCAATAATTGCAGATAAACTTGTTATTCACCATAAGGTGAAAACTTGAATGTTACCACAAATATTTACAAATAACGAGATTCCATTTTATCATGAGATTAAAGCATCCGACTGAAGCACTCTACTAAAGTCCTACATGACCAACAGAGCCCGTAAATAAATTTTTTCTCACCTGTCAATCATATCCATACATCCTGCAATATCCTTGACGAAAAAATTTTAACACAAACTCCAAGAACTCTTTCTCTGTCGAGGCAGAGAGGTCTATCGATAATCGACCAATATTATCATGGACTAGTTGCCAAGTTCCGTGAATTCACGTAAATGATGTACTATCAAGAGAACACAAAAGAGGCACACATAAAAGCAGCGGCAGAAGCTGGGGACAAAAGGCTTAACGTCGTCGATCCATCTCTTGCTCGTGTGTGCTGCCTGCAGCAGTGACTAGGGATGCCGCAAACTTTTTTCGAATCGAAGTTTCGACTATCGAATCAAGCAATTCGAAAGGTTCGAAAGATTTCAAGTTTTCTAACTTTCTGTATTCTAAAATTCGATGGAAGTCGAATTTTCGAACTTGTAAAACTAAGAAGTTTGACGCTTTTCGTACCGTCGAACTTATGACGCTAAAAATTCGATCCTTTTCGAATTTTCGATCTTATTACGCTGCAAAATTCAATGCTTGTCAAACTTTCGGACTTGATATACCAAAAAATTCGATGATTTTCGAACTTTTGAACTTCTTGCACTAAAAAATTCGAAGCTTTTCGATCTTCCGAATTTCCTACTCTAAAGAATTCAATCATTTTCTAACTTAATTATCAAGAGAAATTGAAAAGTTTAGAATTTTCGAATCGTGACATGTCAAAAGTTTGACGAACCCTAAAAGTTCGACGTTCGTTGAACTTCAAAAGGCCGGCAGACGGTTTCATTTGAATTCAAGTAGTGAGGTACATTCGTAATTCTTTTTTTTTTCGTCTAAGTTGTTTGAGGTATCGCATTTAAATTAACACCACAGACAGTACATAACATTGCCATCTGCAGAATACAAAATAATGTATTTATTGTTTTTTCGCGTTCAGGATTAAATTAACTCATGGGAGAAGATATCTAATATTGTTCAAGTTCAGCACGTCATAAAAAAATAAACATTTGTTTTTTCGCTTCACGTTCTTGGGGCGTGTTTCTTTTAGCCTGCACACATTTTGGTAGGAGAAACTTGTTTTGAAGTTCTGAGCTTCTGAATATGCAAGAATACAACACTTCCGGCGAATTCTTGATAGTTTTTTTTTTCAGCTTTTTATTCTTGCATTTATTGTTATGTTTATTTATTTAATTTCTTTTTATCAATGGCACAGTTATTCAGGTCGACAAGACATAGCTGTGAACTTCCGAACCACTAAGCTTGTGACAAGTAGTGCCTTCTGACAACGAGTTTTCGAGAATGACCATCTACTCGATCTTTTATGCAGTGAAGAGCGACAGGAGCTATACATATGCATAAATAATTTCTGATTAAAATGAGCTCCACCACGCCCTCTTTCTCCGTAATTTTTTCTTTAACAGTCTGAAATATCTGAAAGGGGGGTGAGCCCCTCCCATTCTTCTTCTTCCGACGCCACTTGTATGGTAGAATGCTCATCGACCTCTAGGTGTGTCGGCTTCTGTGCTTTTTTGCGAGGCGTTTCCTCTGTCCCAGAAAATAAACCTCCAGGACAATTACAGACTTAACTTACTATATGTCAGCGTCACTCGGGCAATGTTCGATCGGATTACTACCAGCGTGCAAGGGGTAGGGAGGTAGTTTGCCAGGTTGCTTCAAGGTTTTTCTGAGCTTCAACCTCCTGCCCGCCCCTGGACGTTTCGAACTGGATGAGTATCGTAAAGCAGTGCGTTTGTGTGATCACTACTGTGTGATGCACGCTAAAGACCCCCCCCCCCCCCCCCTGGGCCTTGCGGTCACAATTACTGATCTATGGTTACACGTCACTCTGCATCTGCAAGCAAATATTCCAGCACATCCGGGACACTCGTCGTCTCATTTAATTGCCTGACCCAACTTCACGGAGTCTAAATATCACACCCTATCTTTTCTAAACCTGATTTCGTGAAAAACAGTGAGTCGTGAAAACATTATTTGAAACTGAAACTGTGGAGGAACATGAAAACCGGACTTCGAACTTTGAAAACTTGGACCTAAAAGAAATTCAAAACCTTCGAATGTTTTTTTTTTAATTTAGCATTAAAAGAGAATCGAAACCTTCGAACTTTATAGAGAAAGAAGTTTGAAATATTTGAATTTTTCGAACTTTATGTTTATACAAATTCGAAGCGTTCGAATTTTTCTAATTTCATATCCAAAGAATTTCTAAATCTTCGAATTTTTCGAATTTCCCATCTGAGGAAATTCGAAATTTTCGAATATCTTGAATTTCCAAGTTCGGAAAGTTCGAAAACTTCGAATTTATTGAACCTCAAGTAAAAAAATATTTGAACCCGAAATTTTAGAAACCGTGAAAGCTTTGAACTTTTCAAATTCGAAACTTCACTGTGATCGAAAGTTAAGAATTTTTCGAATTCGAACCTCGGTCGGTACGAAAAATATAATAAAAGTTGAGAATTTTTCGAATTCGAACCTCGGTCGGTACGAAAATATAGAATGTTTTCGAATTCGAACTTCAGTTCGCTTCGAAAGTATCGAAACCTTTCGAAATCGAACCTAGGCTGGTTCGCGACATCCCTAGCAGTGACTGGATTTTTTTGGTTTCCTTCCCTTCTGAAATGTCTCAGCGTTCCTTTTCAGACAGTCAACAGCTCACATACAGTTTAAATTCTCTAGAATCGGAGCCCGTATGAAGGATGAAAATGTCATCGCCGGAGCCGGCTCATTTGAAAAGTGTGGGGAGCTGCGGGAATGCGCTGTTTCCCTGCAGTTACGGGGTAGCGTAAAGTTTGAAAAGAACGCTCACCCAAAATGAAGAGATAAATGGGGAGAAACATGGGGTGGGCTATCTTTAAGAATTCCACTGAAAAACTTTATAAAAAATTAATGATAAACAGTCTGGTACTAGCTAAAGCGTGTTTCACATGCAGCGATTTTGGCCCTAGAGCGGCGCAACTTTCGCCGTCGCGGCGCTCGTGCCGCTCAACCGCTGCGGCTGGCCAGAGCGCCGCGACGGCACAAATTGCGGCGCTCTAGGGCCAAAACCGCTGCATGTGAAACACGCTTAAGAACAATGTGACGCGGAAACTGATATCGCAGATCGCGGACACCGCAGAGAAACGTTCCAGATAGGCAGAGTTTTGAGATAGTTCTTGCATGGGTTCCTGGGAATCCAGGAGTTCCTCAGATTCCTCAGAGGTGTTCCCTGGGCTCCCGAATTTCCTTTGCCATCCATCCCCTAACTATTCTTCCAGTTAAAGCATGATTGTAGATCTTCCATTGGTTCCCTCTAGTACTGTGCAATGTAGTTTTAATGATCTGTAGGCATTTGCCCTGCGTCGGGGCACCAGTGCCAGGAGGATCCTCGGCTCTCATTCGAGAGATGCGAGCGTTTCTCTAAATCAACTCGTGTCTGACATACCAACTCCACAACCTTGGTTTCAAGTTTAGGATATGCTGAAGTCTGTCCATGAAATGGAATTCTCTTTATGTTGCTGCTCATCGCGAGGCTGTTTTTAGATCCCACACTACCGCTCGCTCTCCTTGAATATGCCGAATGTCTGTTGTGCCACGAGGTTGTCACGAATTTCTGCACATAACTTTTTTTCCTCAAAGGCAGTGGTAAACTGCTGTCGAGCAATCCACTAACAATTAAAACAGAAAGAGGGTGGAAACAAAAAATGTGACAAGCGTGTAAAAAAGAAAGATAATGTCATCGGCTTCACATTGTTGCGAGACTGTGGTGGATTTTATGTGAGATTGGACTTTTTCCGGCAAAATGTTGCAAACATACTTTACGTGCTCGACTCTGTAGTAGAAGACTCATGTTTGGTTTTTGTTCTTTTTTGTTTTGATTATAATGCAATTAAATGCAAAGGTGCGAGCGAGCTGGACAAGAATGACGAAAATAATCCCTGGAGAAGGGGAACAAGGGGGACAAACACAAATCTCCAAACACAGCTAGGTGACTGGTGCACGACCGAAAAAAACCACCTGGTCCCGGTTCAATACCTGGACCATGCAGACTTTTTCGGTCATGCACCAGTCATCTAGCTGTGTTTGGAGATTTGTGTTTGTCCCACTTGTTCCCCTTCTCCAGGGATTATTTTCGTCATTCTTTTTTGTCTTTTTGCTGCAGTGCGAAGTGGGTCCGCACGGATTCGCTCGGAATAAATTATATGATGGAGAGTTCTTTCGTGCTTGAATTAATATTTTTCTTCATAGAAATAATGTATGGTCATCGTATGGAATTTTTGAAAGCAATCGAATTGACCGAGGTTAAATTAATGCAAGTTTACTGAATGGGCAAAGCTTTCTTTTTCTCTCGAGGTGGCAATGAGTAAAGCAGTCTTATATCTCGTGGTCGTCTGCAGTCTTGAAAAGTGGGTTCAGGAAGCAAGATAAATTCTATGCTTTTCAAGCAGAAGTCTGATTTTCTGATAATTTTAGAGAAGAATATTTGCCCATATTAAATTAAAAGGACAGCGAATTTCCAAAGGCACCTTTCAAAGTGCCTGGATAGGATGTGACAAAATGAGCCAATATTTATTTGTGAGATCGATTTGAAGGCTTTCAGTCAACGAATCAGTAAATTTATATTTAGTTAGAGATCATGCATAAAAAGACTGTCAGCCTTTCCACTTTGGTGAAGAAGGAAGATCAGCAAAGCTGTACTATGGTGGGAATGAAGTATTTATAAATGTAAGTATGAAGTATTTATAAAGGTGTGATTGAATAATTGGTTATTTGATTGATTAAAGAATCAGTCATAAATATAACGATCCGGGGTTGTAATTTATCTTGTACCCGCAGTGACCATGGCCTTGTGATCGCTGTGGTACACTGCCATAGGGTGTACGCCGACGGCAGGCATATTCTTCGTGAAGACAAGGTCTATACACGTCTGATGCTTGGTCATGGGCACCGTAGGTTCATTCACACACGCAACCTCGAGGCGCTCGAGCATAAACGAAGTGAACCACTTTTCCTCCTGGCTTGGAATGTTATAGTTAAAGTCACCCGTCACTACGGCAGACGTGTCATCGTCGAGCATGACCCAGCCAAAGACGTCCATCATGAATGCTTCAATGTCTCTCTTGGGTGTCGCAGGGGGGCGACCACCGGACCATTGCGCACCTTGACGGAAAAACTCTAAAGGTTGCCGCCATCTATGAGCAACAGGGGCAGCCAAGTTGGTTTTCTGGTTGCCGCCATCGCTCATAGATGACGGTAGCTGTCCAGAGTTTTCTATACTTTCGTGTCAACATTTGTTCGGTACCAGGCACAAAACTGGGGAAACTAGCCCTTAACAGCTCCGCTGTGATACAAATATCCGTTCCTACATAAGCCTCTGTGGCTTGTGCATATAGGTTTGCGACAGAGCACCGTTGGTAGTTTGAAAATACGCCCAAACTTTTCTCCGAGTCAAAATAAAGGAAAGAACAGAACATGCTTCTAGGTGGACGTCCAGAATAGACACATCAATTTGGAATCGCTTCTCACTTAAATTGAAATCTCTCACTCAACGTAAGTATTGCTCAAAAATAATTTTTTTAGGCACATTGATTTTGTGTTTTTTGTCCTATTTATGCATTTACAAAAATCTTTTGGGGAGTTGGGTGTCCCTTTATGTTGGAGTTGCACCCAATTCGAACAACGCAATCTGCCCCCCACTGCTGCTTGCAGCCCTTGGCCGTGAGTCGTCCCTGGGGCCCTGCAGACCCGTCGCTCTGGCAGCTGTGGGCCCCGGAGCATGCCTGTGGCCACGCTGCCTGGATCAAGGACCTGGTCTGCACCCTGGTGCGGTGCGTGGAGGACCAGGTGCTCTGGGCCCTGCTGCCGGTCTGCCAAGGGATGGTGAGCCTCCGTCTCTGATGCACTGGCCCTCTACCCTGGCTGGGGGAACGGCAAGTCTGCCAGAGCTGTAAAAGCATGCTAAGTTTAGTTCAACCTAATTTAACCTGACCTTACCTCAACTCTTAACTAACCTTAACCTTAATGAAGGTGCAGTCCAGTTATGCCATTTACGCCACCTTGAAAAATTCCCGCTTGCTTGTGCCTTGCTGTGCCCAATGGGAAAACTTGCACCCAAAAGGAAAACTTGCACCAAACGGCACCAAAACATATGAATCTACGGACAAAGTGGTTTTTGAAAGAGGTTTCGTTTTCATTTGGCAACTGTGGGAATTCAGTGGAGCTTGGCCATCACAATCCAATCCAGATTTTCGGCTCCATGGCGTTGTTTCACCAGTGCCCCTCTGTACCTTCGGTGCCTGGAAAAAGAGTGGGAAACCAACGAGCCTCCGCTGTTGTCGCAAGTGCAACGTTTTGCCGTTAAGTGCACCACTGAAAATGGGTCATTTATATGGATAGATGGATGGATGCACTGCATTAATTCATCCTTTTTGGTTGTTCCGAATATGCGGGCGGTATGCTAGTGCCGTATCACCCGCACATTCGGAAAACTATATGGCCATGAGGGAATTCTGGCGCTTGGAATGAGCCATTTGATATTGAAACGTTCCACTACCGTATTTACTCGCAGAATGAACGCACTTTTTTCCCTGAAAAATCGATCCAAAGTTGGGGGGGGGGGGGGGGGGGGGGGGGGCGTTCATTACGCGAAGTAAAATTTTTGCGTCCGTATTTACTCGCATAATGAAGGGACCCTTTATCCTGAAAAATCGAAGCAACTTCTTATCTCTGCGCGCGGCGCCCGATCCCGTAACCTAACTAAGCTGTGCAAAAAAAAAAAAAAATCAGGAAAAACCTTTTTTTTTTTAGTTCCTTGGTTTTTTTTTTTTTTTTTTTTTTTACGCCTTTCGCGAGCTGTTTTGTTTGCTTAGGCGAGGGCTTCGCTTATCTTTCTCATCTCTTTGCGCGCGGCGCGCGACTCACGACCCCCCCCCACCCCACCCCGCCCGCCCGTAACCAAACTGCGCTGTGCAAAACTTTTTTTGTTTCTCAGTTTTGTGTTTTTTTGTTTTTTTTGCCGCCTTTCGCAATTTGTTTTGTTTGCTTGGAGGGCTTCTCCGCTTCTCTTTCTTACCTCCTTGCGCGCGGCGGTGCGCGAACCCAAAGCCCAAACTGCGCTGTGCAAAAAAAAAAAAAAAAAAACCTTTTTATGTTTTTTTTTTTGTTTTGTTTTCGTTGGATCTTTGCGAATTTTTTTAACGCCTTTTGCGAGGCGTTTTGTTCGCCCACGCTGCCCATGCATTCGCGACCTCGCTGCACCAGGATAGAAAAGTGTGTTCATTTCGCGGGCCTTGGGGGGGGGGGGGGGGGTTCAAAATTTTGATGTCCGAGTTGGGGGTGCGTTTATTACGCGAGTAAAAAAAAAAGTCTAAATTTTGAGAGCCGACTTGGCTCGAACTTTATAAACTTTACTTAGTTATAACTTCAATGTCTGTAATTCTTCCAGCATGTTACTCGTTCATGACGCTAGTTATAATGCTCATTCACGAAGATTTTCTCATAGAAAACGGCATAAAGCAAAAAAATAGAAAACGGCATAAAGCACATTCTGCGTTAGATGCATGGATGTGCTTTGTTTTTAAGCCAGGGTTTCTGTGGTTTTGAATTTGATGCGAAACCACCCTGGCAACGGCGCATGCAAAAAAAGGGGGGTTGAAATCTCGTCGCAAGGCAGCAAGCTTGCTTACGCGTACAGTGAGAGAGAGATGGAGCACGTGCTTTGGAGGAAATGGGTAGGCTTCGAATAGCAGGGTCACAGCCTGGGTGTCTGACTGTGGGAGGTATGAGCTTCAAGTTTTACTCCTGCCAGGGTGCTAGCTTTGGCAAAGCTCTTTTCCAGAGACACTACGTTCGACAATGTTTGTGCCATCGAGACACTAATTCTGTACCAAGTTCCCCTGTGCAGCATTGCCCCAGAGGAATGCACTGTGCTATCTGTTTTACCACTGCCTTTATCAAATGAGGCAGGATGAAAGGGAAACATTTTTTTAAAAGCTACGGGCTTGTTTTAAGTCGAGAGTGTCACAAAGTGTTGTAACGAACCATGGTAACAGAGGCGTATAACAATCATGCGGGTGGTGCCGCTATGGGACACATGGTCGAGTGGTTCATGCCACTATGGATTATGTGGTCACGTGGGGTCATGGTGGCACGTTGTCACGTTACGTGGTACCGTGACAGCATGACATCACATTGTCGCATCAACTGGATGGCACAGTATCGCGTGAAGACATGTGTTGGTGTCACTGACCACCTAACTTGACGTCAGTGTTACGTGACAACTGTCTCCTCACTTTAGCGGAAAAGCATGGCGTCACGCTACAAAAGCCCCGCAAGTCCACATTCTGCATACAGTTTGGTAGTCTTGCGCGAATATTTGAATAGTAGTTTTGAATAAGCCATTCAAATATTCGCATAGAGTAACTGCAATATTCATACTTTCCGAAGTGTTGATGGTGGTAAGTTAGCTCCTTTGAGTGCGCTTCCCACCGAGCACCTGTGCGCAGCCGGGAAGCAATGCCCCAGCGGCTGCCACCAGTTGCAGCAGGTGGCAGCTGGTCTAAGCAGCGTGCACATAAAGCGACCTTAGCTTTAACAACTTCCACTTGTGGATGCCATCTGTCCATCTATCTCCCATTATTTCTTTTTCTCGGTCCGCGAGCAAGAAGCAAATTCTGTCACGCTATACCGAGACTGACCACGTCATGTTTATTGCAATCGGATTCGCTTTTCGGTTGGCAGATCTATAAATACATGCTAAAACTTACTACATCTGGTGCATATTAACAAAGTGCAGGGGTGAAAAAGAATATGTGCAACTTACCCTCTATTTTGAAACTTCACGTGTGACTGAGCCGGCAGTGTTGGTTCGTCTGCTCAGGAGCGCAGGACGAGAACCACGTCATGCCGTCGACGCGCCGCTGATTATCAGTGTTGCCCAGCTGCTTGAGCCGGTAGTTTTGGTTTTGCCATGCCGCCAGACCGAAATTTGGATACGCGATATCTACAAAACTATACACACAATCGAAAAACCAATGATATCTCATGATTCAGAGTCGCCGACTTGGACCAAACAGATTATAACCCGAAAATCGTAAAAATGGAGTGGAGTTGCCCTTTAAGTACTGTGCATTGTAGGGAAAATCTTGGAGAAACTATTCAATATTCAATTAGAAATGATTTGGCCAAAACCACTTTTCGCTTCAGACTTGCTTCAAACTTAAAATCTATTATTTGTACAAAACTATAGTACTCACTTCATATGTAGGATCAAGGAGACTTTTTTCTTAATAATTAGGCCCTCGTGGCTCGTGTTTTCATACAGACCTAGGCAAGCACGAGTGCCTTGCCAGGGCCCTTTGGCAGGGTATGACGAAGGGTTAGCCATAACGCTGTCTTTCTCTCGTTTCTGTGGCCAAGACGGAGCTGTGCGAGCTGCTCTTCCCGTTCCTGGTGGAGATGCTGGCAGAGCAGGGCGGAGCACACTGGGAGGGCGTGGCTGGGGGCATCTCCACCTTCCTGGAGCACCACGTGAACAGCCACTGTAGCGACGACGGCCACAGCCAGTCGACGCTATCCTCCTCGGAGCCACGTGAGCATCTGTCTTTTTGGGACGGTTTGGCTGGAAGACCAAGGGCCGGTACTTTGGGGCTTGCCGCCTCTTGAGGGCGACGGAGTAGAGCGGGGGCTCTCAAACCGCACGAGGAATGCCTCTCTGGAGCGATGGCCGAGGAGCCCCTCCTGGTCTTAGCACTGATGCAACATAGTGCAGAAGCAGAAAAAGATAACCGCATCTCCACGAGGTGAATGATGTTAATTGGGGCGAAGCTCTGGTGGTGCTTGTCTGCGTAGATGCTGAGCCGCAGCGCCCTCTCGTCTATAAACCTTGGGCCAATGCATGGAAAGTTTAACGCGATTATATACGCATTTGACCGCAGCGCCCTCTCCTGTATTAACGCTGAGCGGCTACATGCAACGTTTCATCCATGACATTCCCAGCTCTTGAGTTACTACCATATCTCAGAGCCCCCACTCATCCCGCAGTTGTGGCCGAGTGGTTAAGGCGATGGACTAGAAATCCATTGGGGTCTCCTCGCACAGGTGTGAATCCTGTCGATTGCGCAATCATTTTTTTCTTTTTATGTAAGCACGGACGCCGGACGGGCAAGGCTACATGGAGCTTGGCCCCTAAAACCTTGTGAGCCGTCATGCGCATACTAGGGAGGCACATAGTTATACATCAAAGGGTGGCTCAGACCTTTTGAAGGAATGCCTGAGCAGCACTAGGGGAGAGGAACGGCTGAGGAAATTAGGAAGCTTGGGAACCCGTGAGGGTGCTTTGGGGAATCTTTATGTCCCTATACAAACCCATGGAGTAGAGACAGATATCATTTAGAAGTTTGCTTTCCATCTTGTTACGGTTTATCTGAAGAGACTTTGTTGCACCTCTGTGACTGCTATAAAGTGCCTTTTTTATCGGGCTAAATTTTACGAGGACACTTGTTTAAAAAAAAAAGGGTGCTTTTTTTCGCCCACAATGTGCGAAGAAGTAAAAGCGATAGCTGTACGTTTTGGGCAACCTGGTGACCCCAGGCACTGAACCAGGTTACCGGCATGCTAGATAGTCCGTGGTCATTTCTGCCGCAAGAGGGCCAAGGGCAAATGGCCACGCGAGCAGCGCTCCACCGCCGATAAAAGGCCGTTGCAGCGTATGCACCAGGCTTTTGGGGCCGTGGAGCATGGTGATAAGAGGTAATACAGTCGAGGCCGGTTATATTACACCCGGTGTATTGAATTATTGTTTATATCGAACATTCCAAGCATCCCCTTGAAAATCGCGTGCAATAGTACAGGAGCGTTGTTTTTCTGTATCGAACTCCCATGGCCTCCCATGGCGGGGTCACTCGACATAGCGAACAAGGCACGGTCGCCCATCGCTTCTCCCGTGGTCGGATTGTGCCGGTGGCAGCTCACGTCGCGGGGCTGGCAGACCGCCAAGCTAGCGGACAGTGATACGCAGCGAAAGAGCAGTTTTAAAAAAAGAAAAAAGCAAACGTAAAAGAAAAAGTGGAGGATTGCAAAAGCAAGGGGAAGGGCATGCACACGCACGTGGGGACTGCTCGCTGTTGGAATGTTAGCATGCTCTCTTTCCCCGAAAACCGCTGTCATTATGCAACTCTTTAACTCCAAAATAAAATAAGCAAAAGAAAAGTCTTCATCAAGTTGAATGTGTCAACAACAACTGTTGAGTAGGGATGGGCGAATATTCGGTTATTACGAATAGCCAGTCGAATTCTGTTCTATTCAGCATTCACTTCGAATCGAATTTAAGTATTCGACAAAATCGAATTATTCAACATTATTGAATTATTCGACAATATGGAATTATTCAACAATATCGAATTATTCGACTTTTCTAAATACAGTCAAACCCGACTATATCGAACCCCTTTACATTGAATTATTCCTTATATATCAAACAATTTTTTTGCACAGTAATGTTACAGTGATAATATATAGCAAAAACTATGGTTGCGTCGAACAAAAATCGCAGCCGCTACCGATATATCGAACTGCCAAGAGCACCGTTTTGCTCTGCAAGCTGACTTTCCCCCAACGCGAGCGGCCGCATAGGGGGAAAGCCAGCTTGCAGAGCATGCTGGCTTTTTTTTTTTTTTCTGGGCAGCCGCGTCGACCGCTTGGAAAAAACGAAAAAATATCTTTTGCAGAGGGAGCGGAGAGAGGGTGCTTCATGCTCCCTCTCCCCGCTCCGTCCGCAAGAGAGAATATTAATTTTTCTTCCAAGCAATTAACGCGGCCGCCCAGAAAAAAAAAAAAATTGAAAAGAAAAAAAGCCACTTTTCTTAGCTAGCTGGCTTCCACCAATACAGCACATGTCTTCGGGGAAAGCCAACTTGCAGAGCAAAACGGGGCTCTGCAGGAGAAGGTGCTCCCGTTGGACGTGCTCCGTGCTCTCGGCATAGTTCGGCGCTAATGCGCGAATATAGAAGGCAGCGGCCTCAGCACTTTGGAGTTCATCGATAGCGTAGAGATGAAGAAAAGGCAGCAGAAGATGCAAGACTACTTCATTGTGTAATATTTCAGCAGGAAGTGGATTTTTGAGAATCCAATTCATTAAAAAAAATTTTATATCGAATTACCCGCCATATCGAACTGGTAGACGTTTTCTTGCGAGTTTGATATGAATGGGTTTGACCTACTCTGGCTTGGAACTCAATACACTTGAAATTAACAATTACAGTGCTTCTAATACCAAATAAGGGAAAATATGAAACCATAGTTTAAACATATCTTGTAGTATTTGTTGGTTATACTATTCGGCATTATTCGGCCAAAATCACTATTCGCTTCGGCTTCGATTCGGACCCGAAATCCTCTATTTTATACTGTTGAGCAAACGCACTTTGAGTGCCTTATCTTTGTTTACCCTTTTCTTTCGCCGTTCTTGCTTTGCCCGTTTTTCTTTTTCTTTTTTTGCCTTTCTTTTTTTGCTGCCTGAATTTAGTGAGGTTTATTTTTCTTGCTTGCTTAACTTTATTCTATGGACCGAGAGTTCTTTCTTATCTGGCTCGCTTTTTCCGTTCTTTCATTTTTTTTAATTATTATTTTTGTGTTTTGTTGCCGGTGCTCGATCGCAAACAGCGTCCCGTGAACGCCGGGGTGTTTGTGATCTTCACCAGCTAAGCTCTACGGTATTTAGCGGCTCTTAGGGGCTTTATTTTTTGAGGTCCGGTTTGTTGCGGCCTTTGGTATTAGCAGAGACGCAAGGAAATTTCAACTGGAGCTTCAGTCAACATATTTTTGTAGATCAAATTATCGGCATATTTAATTATTTTACGATCCCCTTCGAATTCGACATATTTGGGTTCGACCGTAAATGACTGCGTGTTTTTAAACCGGTGTGTCGTGTCATTTCGCTGCACTAGCTGCGACGGCCTTTTATCGGCGGCGCAGTGCCGCTTGCATGGCCAATAGAGCCTTTTCAAAAGTCCATCGAGCAACATTGTCAGTCACCATTGCTTGGACACAAAGCGTGGGATTGGATCGGAGTCCTCGTCGAACGCTGACGCTGCACTCGTATCCAATGCATGTTCAGAGTGCGTGATCAAGCAGTGGCAGGCGTGCGATGGCGCCGACTTTTGGAAAGGGTCTATTGCGCTTAGCCCCCTCGCGGTGAAAATGACCACGGACAATTTAGTATGAGGGCAACCTGGTCCAGCGCTCTGGGTCCCCAGGCTCCCACCATGTCACCGTGTGCGTACAACTGCCTTGTGCATGCATTCACGCCTCGGGATCCTCACGTCGCCATTTATGCGAGGCACGGGTGGCCTCTCGCTGGTGGCCACTGTGGGTGCGACGCCAGTCACGAGCCGCTGAAACCGGCCGTTCCCTCCACGCCCGCTCCTGGGACAGAGGACGGCCTTGGCACGGTTTTGTAATTCTCCGCTGCTGTGGTGTCAAACAAGCCTTGAACGCCTTTGGACCTCACTAGATCCGCGCTTACATGGATGGTGTCGGCCGGCTCCGGGGCAGAACCTGCCGATGGGAACGAGACGACAGGCAACCGATCTCGACGGTGACGAGGGCAGATCTGAGGCGAGCGCCTCGAGCAGATTTATTGTTCATATTTTTGGTGGCCGAATCATGTCTTGCCGCCACGCGGCCCGTGGTTTTATAGAACACGTGACACGTGCAATCGGCGCCTTGTAGGTGGTGCCATCTCTGAATGAAGGACGGCCGTAAACATAATCACTACATTCTCCTCCCCTTATAAAAAAAAAGAAACGTAAAAGGAAGACAACATATCTACAGAATCGTAGTAACAAAAATGCCTACACATAGTATATAAAAAAATGAATAATTCATCAATCTCCCCTCCATAAAAAAAACAGTGCAGCGGTAACACAGACAATTCCAACTGTTGAAAACCGACACACTTAGTAAATTGTCTATGATACACTAGACAAAAAAACAAAAAAAAAAAAAACAGGCATTGTTGCTTCATTAAGCTGGGCACAACACTGTTCAGTTCAGGCACAACCACGTGGAAAGTCCCATTACAGTGCAAAATAGTTCAATTCGTGAGAGGTGACATTTAAAAAAAATCAGAAAAAGTCGCTTCAGTTCATTGCACATGATAATTGCCAGATGAAGAAAACAGATTACTGTTTCCATAAAATGAAAGCACGTAGTCCTTCAATCGCTGTGGAAGTCTTCTTTCACGTACTGGCCGACTGTAGAGTTGAGTTGGCGTAGTCACGGTTGCTTCCGGGATGCAGGGGTGAGTACTGCTACCGTTCACGCTCTCTTCAAGGGGAGGTATGGAGGAAGGTGTTCCCGGATTAGATACAGCGGGGCTGCTGGTCGCCATCGGGATGAATGGTTGAAGAGGATCTTGAACCTCGAGACTTGGGAACACAGAGTTAGACGAAGGCACCTGCGGGGATGGACCTGGCACAGCAGGTTCAGAGCTGCAACTAGCTCTACTTGTAGCTGGACTGCAGACAGGATCGGGTAGAGCCGTGACAGTAGGGTTGCGCAACGGAGAATGGTGTCTTATCGGAGCAGGTT